GTACTTTGACCTATAATGGTTTACATTTACAAATTATGACTAGGAAGGAGAGTTGTCTCATTGGCACTCATACCACATCTTCTTATATCTATATACAACACAAACCAGACGTTTCTCATACTGTTTTCTTTTTTAATAAATCCTTTGCCGCGCGCTGTGTACTGATTGATACTTCAGTCTGGGAGAACAAGATTTATTCCAGTACTAGTTGTAGTTAGCTTTGAGCAAACTTCCAGTAATTGTAAATACTCTTATGTCGGTGCGTTGTGTCTATTGTCTTAATGTTAGTTTTTTTTGTGTGTGTCTCATACCGATCTTTTGAGTTAATCTAATTGCAACTGATTAGTGCAGGTTCTTCTTTTATTGTACTGTTACACCACTGTCCCAGCTTCGGGATGGGTTGAGTGCCGCTCACAAACATGTTGTTGTACTGTTACACCACTGTCCCAGGTTAGGAGAGGATTGAGATCCCGCTAACATGTTTGACCCCGCCACATTCTGTATGTATGCATGTGCTTGTCCCAAGTCAGGAGCCTGTAATTCGGTGGTTGCTTTTTGTTGCTGTGTTATACATATTTGTGTTTCGTTCATTTTTTTGTACATTAATTCGGCCGTTAGTTTTCTCGTTTGAATTGTTTTACATTTGTGATTTCGGGGCCTTTTATATAGCTGACTATGTGGTAGGCTTTGCTTATTGTCGAAGGCCGTACGGAGACTTATAGCTGTTGATTTCTGTTTACTTTGGTCTCTTATGGAGAGTTGTCTCATTTGCAATCATACGGTACCACATCTTCGTTTTTATATCAACCCTGCACTATTCTTTATTTGCCTGTCCCAGGTCAGCCTGTAGTTTAGTACTTGTCGTTGGTTCATGTCTCGACCCGTAATTGATATTTTGCAAATTGTTTTGTTATGTATAATTAGGCCGTTAGTTTTTTTCGTTTGAATTGTTCACACTTTTCATGTCGGACCTTTTATAGACGACTTTACAGTATCAGGTTTTTGTCATTGTTGAAGGCCTTACGATTGTGTATAATTGCTTACATCCACTTCATATTTGAACTCTGGTGGATAGTTGTCTTATTAGCAATCATATCCCATCTCTTCGTTTTTATATTATATACCTGACTTCTAAACTCGTGTTTTCCTGAACAAGCATGAAATATTTGTCACTGGGCGTTAACAATTAGCAACAAAACAATCAATCAAATTAAACTTGTGTTAAACAAGAGGAAAACCATTTGATATTTATTTATTTGTTGGGGTGGGGGACAGAAGGATTTCATATATATGAGTATGGTTGCCTGGTAAGAGCTGAAAAACAGGCACGATTAGCGACAGATTAAAATGAATAATAATGCCCTCTCTTCCCTTCCCCATCCTTTATCTAAATCTTCTGGTCCTAACTATTATTTCTATTGCAAAATTTCGATGGTCAAAACGTTCGGACCACCACTTTTCAAAAACTTCATTGTATATGGATTTATATGCAAGTATGTCGTTTTTTAACTAGATTAGACACCGTTGATTTTCCCGTTTGAATGGTTTACACTTGGGACCCCTTTATAGCTTGCTGTTCGGTGTGAGCCAAGGCTTCGTGTTGAAGACCGTACTTTGACCTATAATGGTTTACATTTACAAATTATGACTAGGAAGGAGAGTTGTCTCATTGGCACTCATACCACATCTTCTTATATCTATATACAACACAAACCAGACGTTTCTCATACTGTTTTCTTTTTTAATAAATCCTTTGCCGCGCGCTGTGTACTGATTGATACTTCAGTCTGGGAGAACAAGATTTATTCCAGTACTAGTTGTAGTTAGCTTTGAGCAAACTTCCAGTAATTGTAAATACTCTTATGTCGGTGCGTTGTGTCTATTGTCTTAATGTTAGTTTTTTTTGTGTGTGTCTCATACCGATCTTTTGAGTTAATCTAATTGCAACTGATTAGTGCAGGTTCTTCTTTTATTGTACTGTTACACCACTGTCCCAGCTTCGGGATGGGTTGAGTGCCGCTCACAAACATGTTGTTGTACTGTTACACCACTGTCCCAGGTTAGGAGAGGATTGAGATCCCGCTAACATGTTTGACCCCGCCACATTCTGTATGTATGCATGTGCTTGTCCCAAGTCAGGAGCCTGTAATTCGGTGGTTGCTTTTTGTTGCTGTGTTATACATATTTGTGTTTCGTTCATTTTTTTGTACATTAATTCGGCCGTTAGTTTTCTCGTTTGAATTGTTTTACATTTGTGATTTCGGGGCCTTTTATATAGCTGACTATGTGGTAGGCTTTGCTTATTGTCGAAGGCCGTACGGAGACTTATAGCTGTTGATTTCTGTTTACTTTGGTCTCTTATGGAGAGTTGTCTCATTTGCAATCATACGGTACCACATCTTCGTTTTTATATCAACCCTGCACTATTCTTTATTTGCCTGTCCCAGGTCAGCCTGTAGTTTAGTACTTGTCGTTGGTTCATGTCTCGACCCGTAATTGATATTTTGCAAATTGTTTTGTTATGTATAATTAGGCCGTTAGTTTTTTTCGTTTGAATTGTTCACACTTTTCATGTCGGACCTTTTATAGACGACTTTACAGTATCAGGTTTTTGTCATTGTTGAAGGCCTTACGATTGTGTATAATTGCTTACATCCACTTCATATTTGAACTCTGGTGGATAGTTGTCTTATTAGCAATCATATCCCATCTCTTCGTTTTTATATTATATACCTGACTTCTAAACTCGTGTTTTCCTGAACAAGCATGAAATATTTGTCACTGGGCGTTAACAATTAGCAACAAAACAATCAATCAAATTAAACTTGTGTTAAACAAGAGGAAAACCATTTGATATTTATTTATTTGTTGGGGTGGGGGACAGAAGGATTTCATATATATGAGTATGGTTGCCTGGTAAGAGCTGAAAAACAGGCACGATTAGCGACAGATTAAAATGAATAATAATGCCCTCTCTTCCCTTCCCCATCCTTTATCTATAAATTTAAACTGACCACTACGGAATAGCCCAATAGTGTTGAAAGTAGCGTTAAACACCAATCAATCAAAATCCCTTCCCTAGAATATCAAATAATCGTCCCTTAACTGTTTTTGTCCGTGTAGTTCTTATATTTATCCAGCTTATCGTCCTACAGGGATGTCTTACTAAGGCTTTCATACCATTAAGCGTTTATAACATAGCTCACATTCTAATATATCTGAATTCATAAATGTATTAATGTTATTTAGACTAAAAGACGCCATGTTTGTTATGTGCCTCTGCCGTCTAAACAACCTATCAAAAAAGAAGAGGTGGAAGAGAGCCAGAAGATCTTCCCAATGCAAAAAAACAACAGAAATGGACTTCTTCTGGCTCACTACCGAAGAACAAAAAAACGCGCCCCATTAATATGTATTAAAAACGCCTTGCCCCTACCTTTTTTTCCCAAAAATTGGCATTGTTAAATATATATACATATATATGATCATCATTAAAATGCTATTGTATTTTTATAAGACCTACTTTATTACATGATCTGGGACTAATGACATCTATCTATAAGTCCAAGCATACAGTAAATTATTATAATATGAATATGTTTTTTGTTTTAATAACCACATTTGATGCTATGCATGAGTCACCATTTATCAGGACAGGAATTGGGGTTACATAGAGTGTGCAAAAAATGGATATGGGGCGGGACCAAACCTATAGATAACATAATAAAGAAATGATGAAATATAAAGAATGCGTCGATTGTTTTTTGGTTGCCAAATGTACAGTAACAAATATTTCACGCATGTTTAGCACAAATATAATAGAGATCAAAGGATAAAGAATAGAGTGAAATGGTAAAAACTAAAAGATATAGAATTATTGAAACTATCTTTAATCTGAATCCCCTCCCCTCACACACACACACACACATTAACCATTACTGCAAATATCGCATATATACATCTCTATACAAATATCTTAATCATTAGAGATTTATATCTAATTATATTATATACTGTGTCACAAAATAAACTTGTATACCCCCCTCCCCCTGCCAATGCAGTATTGAAAAGTAAATCGTTTAAAAGTCCTGAAGAAAAAATATGTTTTGAAATATGCACTGCATACTTATTTATGCATATAATTATGAATAAAAAATATTGCAATTGAATGACAAATTATACCAATTGAATAAAAAATATTGCATTTGAATGACAAATTATACCATTTGAATGACAAATCATACCATTTGAATAAAAAATATTGCATTTAAATGAAGAAATATACCAATTAAATAAAAAAAAATTGTATTTAAATGAAGAAATATACTAGTTAAATAAAAAATATTGCATTTAAATGAAAAATATCAAATTTTTGCAACCAATACCATGCCATAGTTGGGTCTTAATTTCAGGATAAAAACCATATATGGACATTGTCGGAAAATATAAAATTTATATTTGTACTCTCTACGAAACAGGAGAAAAGCGAGGCGAGCCTCGCTTTTCGTCCTGTTTCTAAAGCTCGTACAAATAAATTTTATATTTTCCGACAATGTACCTATATTGTATATATATCCGTCCAGTGGCAAATATTTTACAAATATTCAGGTTTAGAACCAGTTACTAAGTAGGTTCTGAAATGTTGATTTTGATTGCTGTTGGAAATATAGACATGTTTTATGTGGTCTAAAATTGTCCTTTATAACAGGCAAGAAACACAATACAGAATTGTTGAAATAGATCTTATACATAAAGGCTCTCTCCAAACAAAGGTAGTGTACTAGGTCTAACGTCCCATAAAAAGCTGATGTGCCAGTGTATCTTTATCCCGCAAAGCCATACAGGCTTTCCAGCAGACAACTCAGTCAAGATCCTACTTAGAGATGTAAAATCTCAAGTAACTTCGCACCGTAAAAGTAGCTGTGTTGGTACAATATTTTTACCCAAGGTATAAAAGCAAAGAAAAAATAAAACTATTTATAAAAGATAATAAATCTTACCTGTTTTGCATATGTATTAATAACTGGTGTTTTAATCTCTGTTCGCTGCTGTCTGTATAGTTTTCCAGGAGACAATGGATGTTGAGTCCACGGTCTAGTCCTAATTATTTTCTCAGGCATTATAATTATATAATTATGTCCGATTATATTTCTCTTACGCCATTGAACACTGTAAAATCATAATAAAATAGTTCTATTCGAAATTAAATCCCCATCAAAGTGAACGACAAGTTTTGTTTCGGAATATAAAACGACAATGAAAAGTCTGTTCGGAAGTTGACAGTCTTAAGCGTTACCTGTCGTTCGTTTCTCCATCAGATCATTTTTCACCGTTAAATGTTGTCATGCTTTGATTTTCCTTAAATAGATATGATTTGAACATAAACTTCCCATATTATCTTTCAAATCATTCTTCTCGCATCGTTAATTCATATTTATGAGAAATCTAATCTTTTCATTTCTTATATTGAAAAAAAAAGTTATGTTCTGATTGGTGAACTAAGTTAAACTATCACATCCTGACGAAAATATCAATATGACTCTTGAAACACGTGATAGACTGGGGGTAACAGTAGCTATAATCTGCTATGTACGGTAGAATCCGACTAAGACGGTACAGAGCCTTGTTTAGTTTGAAGATTTAAGTCGAGACTTCGCGTATTGACCATTCAATACCAAGCTTTCACCGTTTAATTCCTAGGTAAATAAAATTCAATCAAATAACAGGGGGGACAACGCATTATCATTGTTGGCTTTTTAATTTTATTATTTTGTGTGATTTATTAAATCTTTGTGACGAAAGAATTTATACCGGGGAAACGTGATTTAAATTGCAACAAAATTAGATAATTTTAATCCTACAATATATGATACCTCCGTTCCAAGTACGAACACGTTAGATAGTTCTAAAAGATTAAATATGTAATAGTGAAATGTTAAAGTTTAAATATTATACAGTAACAAATGTCCCACTATGATTGATCAAAAACGGTTTTATTACAAACGAATAGTAAATATATTGACTTTCACATTTTATTAATATCTGTTAAAACAATATTACAAGTAACAAAATTTAACTAATAAACGGTATGGGTTTCACTGTGGAATGCCGTGCGGTGACATGTAATTCATATCTCTGTATTTTGGTCCTAATGGATAGTTGTCTTATTGTAAATTATACCAAATATCCTAATTTCTACATATATATATATATATATATTACCCATCATTCGTTAGACAATATGTGCAGAGATGAAAGAATGGGCGTACAAGTAAATGTCATAAATACCCATAACTTCAACTCCTTGATGAAAAAACACCAAGTAGTTTATAATATGCTACATTTTGTAGATTTGACATGATTTATAGAATAAATTTTGTTAAAATTCAAAAACAATTGATTTCTCGAAACCAATACAGTACAAATTACTAATTGGCAGGAACAAACTAAGATATAGTTAATGTTTAAGTTTTATTTTGAATGTTGGATTTAATCTGGTCCTTTTTGGTTTTATTAGCTCTTCAACATTTCTATTAGGTTTTAGGTGTTCAATTCTTTTGGCCTGTATCATCACAGAAGAGACATTAGATGTCGAAATGCGCATCTGCTGTAGTAAAATTGGTGCTGCTAATGACATTAATTAAAAAACAAAAATCACCTAATGTGAGGATAGATACTACCTATTTTGACAGTTCTTTCACCTACGTTTATTTAAAAAACAGACACAAGTTTCCTTTCTGTGTTTATTGTGTAGATGTATCCTTATATATCATATAGTTCCACAAACTTAATTTTGAATCCATAGAGAATCATTGAAAAATGGGTTTGAACCGACCCCCAAACAGTATAAAAGATTCTGAAAGGAGGAGTATCTAAGTTGCACCCATGCTTAACAACACATTCGTAAAAATCCAATTACTGAATTTGATTTGTTATATTTCTTCACATTTTTTGAACAATTGGACAATAGTCCATGCTTGTTTTGCATTTTGTATGAATTAAATGTTTGTGACATATTTTATTTTCTCATTTTTAAAAGTAGACACATGCAACGTTTCCATAAGGTCTTGATTTTTTCACTGGAGACGTTATCTGTTGATATATATGAAATATGTTTAAACTAAATATATTTTACCTCTTACCTTTACCTAGCGATTTTATTTATTTCCTTGAGCATTTCGTATACTTTTTCATTTTTTAATCATTGAAAACTGGGTAGTGAGGAAAATATATTCATGTTTCACCAAATTCATAATTTAGTTTTTTGTCTGAAGCCAGGAGCCAATAATACAGAGTTGCCTGTGGTAATATTTGATTTTTGTTTTATAAAATCGATTTTAGCTATGCCGTTAATGATCTTTTTGAATATTCTTAGTATTGTTCATCGAGGGCACAACTTACCGTCCAGGATCCTGTAGATTTAACTTATTATAATATTCTTTGATCTTTGGTGGATGGTTGGGAATAATAACTTTATTTCTTTATTTTTATATTTGTAGAAGAAGGCATCCACATCATTAGCATATCTGAAAATTGCCGGCTAGTGTAGTAGTTGCTAAAAGGATTCTAGCTTGAATTTGGCACCCGCAGCTCCGCTTAAATCATTGAATTTGTTTTAAAGGTTTTCATGTCATATAAACGTAATTGGTGTATATTTCCTTTCTTATTTTCTTTCTTAAAATGTTTCAGGTTGAATTTTGTATACACTATAAATTGGAGAATGGAAATGGGGAATATGTCAAAGAGACAACAACCCGACCAAAGAGCAGACAACAGCCGAAGGCCACCAATGGGTCGTCAATGCAGCGAGAAAATCCCGCACCCGGAGGTGGTCCTCAGCTGGCCCCTAAATTAAATTGTGTGCTAGTTCAGTGAAATGGACGTCACACTAAACTCCAAAACATATAAATGAACTAAAATTAAAAAACATACTAGACTAACGAAGGCCAGAAAATCAAGTACGATCCCTCCCGTCATACCATCATAAAATATATGAGAAGAACATAACCCGTATCATGCCAACAACTATGTTTGTATGTTTCAAAGGTTAATGATTTACATATCATTTCTGATTTGATATATTTCTTGCGATGTCTAATACGCTATGCTAGTTTTGGGAATGTTAATCGATCGGAAATATATAAACTATAAAATGTGTAATAAAATTGAGAATGGAAAAACAACTACGAGAAACTGGTGGAATAGTTTCAAACACTGACAAACCTGACTCAATTTTCCCTTTAAGATGTGAGTGGAGGATCGGAACATAAGATTAACAATTCAAATAAAAGAATAAAAATATTATAAATTAATGTACCAAATTGTGGGAGCACTTCAATACTTAATTGATAGGGGGTGCCTCTGAGGTTCTGTTACCCCACCCTTTTCATAAAAATGTTTTCCTTTTCATATATTGCGTAGGTAAAAATGTAACCTTTTCACAATTAGTTTGGTTGTGTGTGGTGTGTTGCAAAAGTGCCAAAAGAGGGAAAATTTGTGACGAAACTTTATTGACCTTATCATATATTTCGGATAGTCCACATACGTATGAAGTCTTGAAAGGCTATTTTAATTTTTTTTTGTGACGCAAGAATTATTTGGACTAGCTTGATACTTGGAGTTGATTAATGAGAATTTAGATGCATTTTAATTGCTTGCAATACTCATTTATTTCCAGTTAAATAAGAATATTTGTGTTAATGCATAATTGTTACTATTTCTGGTTATTCCGAATCCTATTTTTAAATGTCAAGGAAGTAAATTAAATATTGTCATGTTTACATAATGGCGTCGTAGTTACATTATGGACATATTTTGTGTAAGTACTTATGTTATTAATTTGTTTTCCGACCACATAGTTTAAAAGATCACCAATCACACCCCTAAAAAGAGTGCAAAAAAAAAAATAGTAAAACAAATCTGCGTTCCTCTATAAATCATGTGGTTCAACTCGGGTTTCAAAATAGTTCAAATGAAATTGTCATTCAATTTAGCTAACGATAGCCATGATAGCATAACATAATGTTTGTCAAATCACAAGTGAACAAATGGTGTACTTGACGAGTACGGTAGTGAAAGGAGAATTTCAACACTCAAAAGAACTCCTTATACATGTCACCCAGTCGTTTATTTTCTGTGAAATGCTTGGAAGACTTTTGATTGATTTCATCTTTTTAATTTGCCATGTTATTTTCAATCATTTAAGTTTACGTCAAAAACAAGACAACTGAAGCTGAATTGAACATTTTCTTAAAAATGTTTTTAAGAAAAATAATTTTATGATTTATACTTTTAATCAAGGTTTTGTGTTTTGAAATATATTGTTTCTATGCAAGCCGGGAAAAATGAAAAATAGCAAAACACTTTTATGACTGAATTTTGAAATAGAAATATTTAACCCATTATTATACGAACGCAAATTTTTTTTTGCGTTCGTATAATGCTATCATGTCGTCGTCGGCGGCGTCAGCGTCGTCGTCTGAAGACACATTTGGTTTCCGGACAATAACTTTAGTTTAAGTGAATGAATCTCTATGAAATTTTACCAGAAGGTTCAATACCACAAAAGGAAAGTTGGGATTGATTTTGGGAATTATGGTACCAACAGTTTAGGAATAAGGGGCAAAAAAGGGACCAAAAACAAGCATTTTTGTAGTTTCCGGACAATAACTAGTGTGTAAGTGTATGGATCTCTTTGAAATTGTACCACAAGGTTCCATATCACAAAGGGAAGGCTGGGATTGAGTTTGGGGGTAGTTGCCCTAAAACGTTCAGGAATTAGGGGCAAAAAAGGGATCAAAAACAAGCATTTTTCTAGTTTCCGGACAATAACTTGTGTTTAAGTGTATGGATCTCTCTAGAATTGTACTACAAGGTTCCATACCACAAAGGGAAGGCATGGATTGAGTTTGGGGGGTAATTACTCCAAAGGGGGGGGGGGGGGGGCAGTTTGGGGGGATTTTTTTTTCCAATTTTTTTGGATGGTTTATAATTTTTTTTCTTCAAAATTTTTGATATTTCAAATTTTTTGAAAAGCTTCAAGAAGAAATCTACAATTGCACAGTATTGCACAATAGCACAGTATTGCACAATAGCAAGAAATCTTCAATTGCACAGTATTGCGCAATAGCACAGTATTGCGCAATAGCACAGTAATGCTCAACAGCACAGTATTGCGCAATAGAACAATATTGCGCAATAGCAAGAAATCTTCAGTTGCATAGTATTGCGCAATAGCACAGTATTGAACAATAGTACAGTATTGTGCAATAGCAAGAAATCCTCAATAGCACAGTATTGCGCAATAGCAAGAAATCTTCAATTGCACAGTATTGCGCAATAGCAAAGTATTGAACAACACAGTATTGCGCAATAGCACAGTATTGCACAATAGCTCAGTAGTGCGCTGTGATATTGCGTAATAGAAAGAAATCGTCAACTACACAGTATTGCACAATAGCAAGAAATCTTCAATTGCACAGTATTGCGCAATAGCATAGTATTGCGCAACAGCACAGTATTGCGCAATAGCAAGAAATCTTTTAACCAATTTCAATGGGACTAATTTAAAGTCTTTAATTTTTGGGGTTCTAACCTTGTATTACTATTTTGGATATTGGGCCCCATTTTTAAATTGGTCTACATTGATGTCAAAGGGTCCAAAATTAAACTTTTTGTTTGATTTCATAAAAAACTGAATTATTGCGGCTGTATAATTTGCTGAATCTTATTGTGCGTTTAGATTTTTTATTTTGGGCCCTGTTTTCAAATTAGTCTATATTAAGGTTTGAAGGGTCCAAAATTAAACTTTGTTTGATTTCAACTAAAATTAAATTTTTGGTGTTTTTTTATATGCTGAATCTAACCATGTTGTTAGATTTTGGATATCAGACCATTCTAGGTAAGTTAAATGTCCCATTTCAAAATTTTAAGATCTTTGACCACATCTTATTTGTGTCAGAAATATATATTATGTCAAAAATTTGATCACAATCCAAATTCAGACAGTATCAAGCTTGAATATTGTGTCCAAACTTGCCCCAACTGTTCAGGGTTCGACCTCTGCGGTCGTATCAGGTTGCGCTCAGCGAAGCATTTTATATTATCATATTTTCAACTGCATATTTTAACAATGGGTTAACTATGACCATAAGAGAGAACGTTGTAATGATTCAACGAAAAACTATAACGTCAAAGTACCCAAATTGTACTTATTTAGCAAAAATAGCAGAGGAAATCTTACAAGTTTTCTTAGAGACTAAACAATTTCTATTTTTTTTTTATTTAACATAATGCACATCTTTTAACATAGGTAAATATATTTAAATATACACACAACGTTCACAGCATATATATCAACAGATGAAGTATTCACTTGAAAAAGTGAAATCTACGGAAACGTCGCCATCTTTTAAACATGAGCAAATAAAATATGTTAAAAGCATCCATTTCTTAAAAAATTAATAGTAAGCATGGACTAATGGTCAAATTGTTCTAAATATATGAAGACATAAAACAAAACATCTGTTGTTCGATTTTCAAGGATGTGAATTTAAACATGGATGTAAATTGGGTACTTCTCATTACAGAATCATGGATCGTTTGGAGGTCGGTTCAAACCCATTTTTCTATGATTCAATATGGATTCAAAATTAAATTCGTGGAACTATATAGTGAATAAAGATAAATCTACAAAATAAACACATAATGGAAACTTTTGTCTGGATCATTAATAAAAGTAGGTGAAAAAAACCTGTCAAAATGGGTGCAATATGGGTACCCTAACGTTATATGTATACTTTTATTCGAATTTCAGAAGGATGGCAATAAAAATTTAGCCGCAAATTTGGTAGAATAAAAAATAAAAGACACGGAAATGGAGGATCTATAACAAAGGAGAACCCCATGTTGTGACATATTCAACATCGTTATTGCTTGCACAACATGGATGGAGAACCTTCGACTTCATGTGGCATAAAACGTTCAATACCAAAAGAATTACAAGATGAAGTGGATGTGATAGCTGCAAAACTTCCACGAGATATTGGTATGTGTATCTGATTCAATATACACACCTAGTATAGACTACACATATAAATATTTGCGTTTTGTAAATTGTATAAGTTCAAGATTAATTTTTTTTTGGTTTATGGTAAAACTGTTTATCATCTACATGTATCTCATTTACTATTGGGTCCATTTAAGAGTACATAGCTGATGCATCCAAAAATTCTCTCCCTCTGATTTCTACCTTGTGTGTCCCAATTAAAGTAAGCATCTTTTATTTGAAAGGTGATATGTTCACAAGAATGCCATGTTCTTAAGAGGTGTCTCGTGATTGGGAGGTTTCTTCCTTTGGTAGACGATAATTTAGGTTGTTGTTGAAAATTAAAGATTTACAATGGAGGTTGCGGATGTAAGTATCCAAAATGAAACTATCACATCCAGCTGCTGTAGTTTGTACTGCAGAATTTGAACCACATCTTTTCATTGATCCCATTTGGTCTAACTTAATTTGTGTGAACTTTGAGATTTTAGAATTGAATATATCGCTAAGCCTAGATAAACTAGCTTCATCGGGCTTGCATCTAAATAAGTGAAATCGGACGCAGATAAGAAAATTTTTCAGCTCATTGTACATCTTGGTCAATAACATCTATTTTTGTAGTAAGGTAAGTTTGCAACGTCCATTTGCCAGTGTTACAAAGATATTAAAGGCGATGCGTCAAAATAAACGTAATCTTTATCTTTGCTGTACCTTTTTGGTGGAAGAAGACTTTGAAGTCTTCTGTAATCCTATACTGCCGGCTGTAAAATCATCGAACCGTCACCAGGAGTGTTGCCGTATCCTTTTCTGTGATTTACTATTTCATAACTTCCGTGCCATATCTTGACACCGATGTTTACACATGATCGGTTTCAAGTTTGTCAAATAGCATCTGCATCATTGTATAAAACAAATGTACAGTTAGACTTGAAAAACAATCACTATCGTTAGCGTTATAATTTCTCATATTTTAATGTTCTTATATCTACCTTTTTATTATGTCAATTATAAAATTTCATCTCATCTTACATGTACGTTATTTATTATTTACTTGTAACCGGATGTTTTTAAAGTAGATTTGGTATTACACATGCGTTAATTTAATTATAATCCGAAACTAAGTCGAATGATTCAGCGCCCTCTATCCACTGATGTTTCTCGTTGGAGTAATCGGAATTAACCAACTGGATTATTCGGGTTAATCCAAAATACGTTGGTTTCGTATCTGCGCATGTGCATAAATGGGAAATTTAATTGTGCATCCGAAAGTTTCAAAATAATGATAAACAGAATTTTCATTAATTCAAAACAATGCATCTTATGTTAATTTCAAGTATCTTCGCGGAGAGTACGACTTCAACTCAATGATCCTTGACAAAAATACACGGATTTAGTTGTTCCGTCTGTGTTCAGATCTTTAACGCAATCAAGTCATAATCAAGTTTTAGAAAACATGCGGTTTTTAAAACGAAAGTTAGAATATTTCAGTATGTTATTGCGATAATAAAGAGTCAAAAGCACACTTAAATCTCCTGGTGCTTTTCGCTTCAAACAATGCACTGTCAGTTGACAGAAATATCAATGTACGAACTATTGTCAATTGACGGAATCCATATCGAAAGTACGTATATTTTATGTCAGTCATTGTAGGAATGTCCCCATTGATTACCTTTATTGTCTTACTTTTCAAAGTTTTAAGTGATCCAAAACGGGATTTAACATATAAATAGTCCAGCTTTTTACCTTTATTCGTCATGAAGGTACCCCCATTACCACCCTCGAGTACGGAACCTAGGGGCGGATCCAGCCATTTTAAAAAGGGGGGTTCCCAACCCAGGAGAAAGGGGGGGGGGGTGTTCCAACTATATGTCCCATTCAAATGCATTGATCGTCAAAAAAAAAAGGGGGGGGGGGGGTTCCAACCCCCGGATCCTCCCCTTTGATCCGCCATTGGTTCAACTTATAATTATTTGCCGTCAATCATTCACGAAATTTTTCCGAAAATGACCGTTTGACGCCTGACGGAAAAGGGCATTCCTACTCTCGTACTTTTGTGTAAAAATATTAGACATGTTAGATGAAAAACAAATATTATTAACAACAGCAAATTAGTGGTTCACGATTTGGGTCAAGCACATACAGAAAATGAATGGGTTTGAAATGTTAAAAAGTGCTCAAAATCCAATCCCTGACCTCAGACAAATCTGCAATGGATATCTTTAGCATTTTTCAATATATGTTTAAAATGAGAAAAAAAAAAACAAGTAACTGAACAAATATAACAATTCATGGTTAACTGATTGGTGTTTGATGTTAAACCCTACTTTAAGCACACTTGACTAAAATCATGGTGAACAGTTTTTTTTATACGAAGGAAGTTGGAATACCCAAAGTGAACTTTCTACCTTTGACAGAGAAAATTTCAAGTGAAACCTAATCAATTACTGGTATAAATGCTTGCATCAAGTTGACCATGCTGAGACGATTAATGTATGGAATTATAGAAAATTTAATTTGAATCTACAGTATTGGTAGATTTTTTAGTTTAGTATAGTCAGTTTTGGTTGAGACATGAGTTTTATTAAAGAATATTATTTTTGGAAGAAAAAAATACGTCGAAAGCAATAATGGGATAGGGCAGGCTGGGTTGATGTGGGCTGCTTTCACGGTAATTCAAGTTACCTTTTATGCATCTTCTTCCACCTCAGAGCTATCAGCTCTTTGATTCATCTTTTTCATTTAAACCATCATATTCTAAAGTGTCTCTTCTCCTTCTCGCCGCGGTTTCCCACTCAATGTTCATTTCTATAATTAATTCAGTAAAAACAGTATTTCATCTTCAATTCTTTTTTGCAATTTTTCATCTTCCAACTTCTATTTCTAATTAATGTGCACTTAGTCGAAATTTAGATATCTATAAATAAGAAGACAATTGAAAATTAATCAAGACCAAGATATTAAGTGGTATGGTTAAGTCCTGGAATTGAGAAAGTAGCTATAAGTCGTTATAACGAGTTGGCTAAGTTGTTATAACGAGTTAGCTAAGTCGTTATAACGAGTTAGCTAAGTCTTGCCTAAAGCCGTGAGCAAATGAAATAAGGAAGTAGAACACTCATTACATGTCCACGCGCAAAGGATAAATCGTTACTAATTAACAGTAAAAGTGCAGTTTATACAGTTCTTAAAACGTCATGAAAGACAATTTTAAAGAATTCCACAATATTCTGTTGTAAAATTATAAAATTCAACCGCATTCTGTTAGAACTTTAACAATTTGAAAAAATATATATAATATATAATCATAAATTTACTATCTAAAAATACAGAGTGAGTACATACTTAAGGTAGTTTCACTAAAAATAACATATCATATATTCAAACTTCCCTAGCTGGTTTTTGAAGAATAAATTAATTCTACCGAACCATTTCATTAGCTAATTTCTTTGCAAGATGTTGTGTTTTGTCCCTTTTTGTCATATGCATCTCAATGATATCATTTTTCTAAATTTAGAAAATACCTGTAACATATACAAAAAGACCCATTACACTTTTGTTTCAACAAATCTGTCATTATAACTTGGCAGGATGTTTTATCTCAGTATGTACTGGTTAAATATGCAATACAAGTAAGCCAATTTTAGACTAGGTACCTCCATAAGCCTGGAAATCTCATGGATAGTCACATATATGTATGGTATACGTCAATGATAAACCAGGTTTAATCCACAATTTTCTTCAGAAGGAAATGCCTGTACCAAGTCAGGCATTCGTTTGATGTGTTTGAGGGACTTTCCGTTTTGAATTTTCCTTGGAGTTCGGTATTTTTGTTGTTTTACTTTATACAGCAACATAACAACACAAATAACAGAAAGGATATTGAGAGGACATGACACACATAAAAATTATTCAAGCGTCAGAACAATATATTATATGATCTTAATCGTCCAAAGTCGGAAATAAATAGGAACTAACACTTTATGTTTTTTGTGATTTTTATGTAGGCAAAACACGCGCGACTGGCATGCTAAATCCCAAGCCTATTGTCATTCAGGAAGTTTTACAACCACTGGGTCAATGCCACTCCTGGTGGACGTTAAAACACTACTATATCAATATCAAAGACGTGGCAAATCATCATTACGAAATAACAAAACCACATCATGTAATGAAACAACTACATTACGTTATGTCACATACACATCAAGTAATGTTGAAACCACATTGCCTAATGACACAACCACATTAAATAATGGTGAAACCACATCGAGTAATGACAAAACCATATTAAGTAATGACAAAACTATATCAAGTCAATACGAAACCATATCATGTAATATCAAAACATCATTACGTAATGTCAAAACCATATTATGTAAAGACAAACTATCACCAAGTAATAATAGAACAACATAACGTAATATCAGAGTTCCACATAAGACAGCTGTGGTGTTCCATAAAGAAGCATATACGTGTTGAAGTAAAGTCCAATATACAAATCAAGGACCTAAAGTGCATAAAATATCTTATTTTTATAAGGAATTAGATTAATATACAAACCAATGTTATTTTTATACTTATTTACAGTTAAATCAGCAGACTTGAGTGATAACCAAAAAAGATGGTTAGTTGTTGGAATATGCCTTAACAGTGTCATAGCACCAGCATTGAGAAACTATGTAGTTCATATTTTAACAAGCTTTTATAATCAGTTATCTTGTAATCATAAGATTGATGCACAAATATATCCAAACCATTTAAAGCAATATCAACCGACAAATACCTACTTGAATTATGAGAATGTCAACAACAACAAAGCAAAACATGGTTATAAAAAGGCAAACTACGACTACACGATCAAGAATGCTGTTGATTTATCCAAGCTTTTTCTACAGACACACATGGCACATTATACAGGCTTTGATGAAACATGTGACTCCTCCGCTTTGCTGGGATTGATCATTAACATTGACCAGTTCACTCTAGTTGTAAAGTCAGATGCCGAAGATGTACGTAAAATATCTGCTTAAACTGATGGCTTGCCTTTACTTAAAAGAATATAAAAAAGCGATGTTTAAATCATTTATATCTATCATAGGGACCAAACAGGGGTATGGCAAAAACATCAAAAGCACCAATTTTACAGTACCGGATGCTCAAGGCCAAATATATTTGAAAATCCAAAACCTAAAAGTCGAACTGATGATATGAAATTACCGTTGTACTTATTGTAAAACGAGAGTTTGTTTTAAAAGATCGATATACCAATTAATGTTTAACATTAAATGCACAACGAAAAGAGAAATGACACCATCAGAGAAAAGAAATACATGTATATATCGTATGTGTACTTGGCTTTCCTTTAAAAGCAAAATTAGCCTTATGAAATTTCGCGAAACCTTATATTTGACATGCTTGATTAATGTCAGGAGATCAATAGGAAAAACATTGAAATTCAAAAAAGAGTTACTCGTGTGAGTAGTTTACTGATCAAACTGTCCGAATTATAAGCCTACGAGGACAACAACTAGTTTGAATTACTACTGGTATTCTGTTTTATTACTGTTCAGTTCAAACCGAATATTGACAAACAAACTGATTCGTCTCATAATTTCAAATGATTGTTTTAAGTTTTCAAGCAAAGACAATTCTTACTTTTAAGGTATATAAGGGGCATCACTCTTGAAAAAGAGAGGCGAAAGAGACATTGAAACTCATAAGTCGAAAATTCACTGACAACGCCATGTCAAAAACAAAAGAAAGACCAAACGGTGAAGAGACGTGTGCTTCGCCATATACCCCATCAATGAGGTGGGGGTATAAAATAAAAATGAGGGAAACGCGTGCACACAAAAAGGAGCGAGACTGATAGCGTGAATATGCGTATACTGATATGCATGCATTACCCTACTAACGAATCCACACTCAGATAAAATGTCACAATCATGAATAGGACACAAAAGGTAAATTAACGGGTCAGACGACTTTTCTGTTATTCGAGATCTAAGACTTCGCAAAACATGTCGCTAGTAGGATGAGACACATACACGTCGTATCAGTCAACAAACTCGTGATAGTGACCATGAATTTATTATCATAAGTTGTCGATTTCATTCGTTTTTCTCCGAACTCTGTTGGAAATTTTTTATGCTAGGAACAGAGCCTCGCTAATCAAATTCCGGGATTGAGGTGGGTTATGAGTGGTATCAGGTGCACCTAAGAAGTTAACTGCTCCTGCTCATCTACTGGCACAAATCGTTAGCGTTATATATCATAAATCAATCTATAGATGAGTCGCATTCGGGGAAAGCTATTAATGAGGAACGGATGTGATTCTGAGGATCACGATGAATAAGCTTTGGTTAATGAAAAATAACATGATACTCATTTTCGTTTAAACTTAAAAATCATTTTATGTAATTTCAATGAAGGTACGACAAGAAATACGGAACCCATGGGCTCATTGCGATTACACCAAATGGGATGCTTTAAAGTACTCAACATCATTCCAGCTTATGGAGAAGCTTGTCACAGATCTCACTATGAGTCAGGCCGATAAAATTCAAGTAATGGGAGAGCTAAATAAATGGAAATTAAATGGTAATGTGAATTACGACTAGTTAATAAATTAAGTTTTTATTTCATATGTATGAATTAAACCGTGTTGTTTCTAGTCATTGAAGTTCAAAATGTATTGTAGCTTAATTGTACAGGTCGTATTCGGAGATTGTTGTTATCGTCGTGAGTATGATTCTGAATGTGACGACGTATCTTATCTATTACTTATTTCTTGTGATATGACGGTCCTGTCATTTCAGACGACACCGTGCCTCGACGTCTGTTAAACATACATGTATATATCGTAAACTGAATTTTCATTAAATATAGATGGAATTTTAAAATCGTAAATTATGTAAGTAAACCAGCACTGGTCCAATACCTTTGCTTATGAACTGTGAGTCACCAAGGCTATCATTAGCTCAGTAGTCAGTGCTTCGGTACCGATATATCCAAAAATAAACATTAAAGAAAATTCCTTGTTGAACAACTGGGACATTTTTGTTTTTAGGAAATTAAGATTGCAACACCTCAGGCAAAGTTAACTTTTGATGAATTTGGCGATTCTTTTTATGTCCCTTTTGGTCATTAGACTTATAGTGTTCTAAATATTTATACAATCCTCACATTCAAATATTTATGTTTGAGTATTCCTGATAAAGGTTAATTCATAACAGCGCTTTGAACACCTGCAGTTTTAAAGTGGTTTCCTTTTTTGACAATTTTTTCATTTCTTTTTTATCCAGGTCAAAGTTTTCTCAATGGTACTGCTCTGGGTCTTGAATTGGTAAATGAGATTCGTCAACAAACGTATGTTTTAGCTGAATATGCAAAGCTTGTAGCAAGAGAAACAGATGATAACCTCTTTAAGATAAAGAAAGAACTCGATAATTGTGGAAGAATTTTGCAAAATGAAAAAGTTCAGTTTAAGAAAGACATTCTTAAAATACAGAGAGTAAGTTAGAATTTTGAAAACATTATTTGAAACCTACGAATCAAGAGTATAATGATGGTTTAAGTGGGGTTCGTGTTGCTAAGTCTCTAGTTTTCTATGTTGTGTTTTGTGTACTAATTTTTCTGTTTGTTTTTTTCTTCTTTTTTAGCTATGGCGTTGTCAGTTTATTTTCGATTTATGAGTTTGAATGTCCCTCTGGTATCTTTCGCCCTTCTTTTATCATGGTTTTTCGATATTTTTTTGGCTAAAATATAAATTATGTATGAAGCAACAATGAGAGTTGGAAAATGAAGTCAATAACTAACAAATAAAACAGGAACTCATTGCTTTATCGCATTTTGAAAAAAAAAAAACTGACACATGATAGAGGGAGGTCATTTGTCGTGCCGAAATACCTGTCACTACGATTTCATTTTATCTTGTTCATATGTTTTTATTGCACAAAGACTTTTTTCATATTCGTTTATATTTATATAACCATTATTTTGATCAAAAACAACTAGTTGCTAGTAGAAATTTTCACATAAATATTCATAATTGTAGCTACGGATTTCTTTGTGTTAACTATATTAGCTATATAAAAACATTTGTATTCGCTTAAAAACCTTTTACATCCCATAAAATATGGTATTTCTGTTAATTTATGATTTTTTGTTGTATTTGCTTGTCAAAATTTTGATAGTTTGCCTATAATTCTACTTTATAAAAAATATTCACTCTTACGAAATAATGAGGAGTAAAAGCAGATGCTCATATGTGATAACAGAACCATCGGTTGAAAGAGACAACCATCACATTGCCTTTGTCGTGTCAATATTGGTCTGTACTGAAAAGGTTCAAATATTGGTTGATGTGTATTTAAATTGTTGTTTCTGTTTAAATTGTGTCGTTTTGATACGGTTTACTTAATCTTGAATACAAAGACATTAAGTAATAATTGTCCCTGATTTAATTTTTATTTATTCTTTAACTCATTGAAATCACATTGCAAAATTTAAAGAAATGAGGGGAACAACAAGTGCCTGATACCGGTAATCGTTACAATCCTTTAAGAATTTGGAACGATTCAAATATGCAGAAAGACTTAGCTTTAGGCTTAGTTGCTTTCAAATTGTCGGCTTTAAAATGCAAGAATATGAATATATATATATATGAAAATAATAAGTTGTTTTAGTTTAAACTTGAAAAAAAAAATACGTACGGTTGCCTATAATTGCTTACATCCACTTCATTTGAACTTTGGATAGTTATCTCATTGGTAATCATACCACATCTCCTTATTTTTATGTAACTTGATTTTTTCCCTTATATTCAGTTGGAGTAATTACATAAGGTGATGAACGTTAGCTATTATAATTATACTACAAATAGCCAAGATTCTTACAATAGATCAAACCGGATGTTGATTGGGAAATTTCAACTGTTACTGGAAAAAAATTATTACGTTGGCCAAGATCAGGAATACTGTCTTGCAACAATAAAAAAAGATAAGACATTTGAGGACTGAATTATTGGAAAGTTCTTTAACATCAGAAGAGTGTAATATGTTCTTAACAACAATAACAAAAAATTCAAATAAAACACCTTTTTTCGATATGCATGATTGAACAATGAATTTTAAGAACAAAGCATGTTATAAATGTGTTTGAGCTTTTGATTTTGCCATTTGATAAAGGACTTTCCGTTTTGAATTTTCCTTGGTATTTTTGCTATTTTACTTTTTATCGAATTTTGTATAAAAGAGACGATATGAAACCTTAGAGTCAAGGCATTTGTTGTTTGTTTTCTACATCTTGTTCATATTATTTCTATATTTGGAAACCAAACTTTCTTCGCCAAAAACTTGGAGTAACTCTTTGTTTGTACTTATGTTGTAAACACACGTATCAGATAATGCATACGATTAAATATTTTCCGAATATTTCTGCGGTTGGTGGTACATAGAATCATTGTGTAATTATTATATATGAATTTCACAAAATCTGATACACTAAGATACGATTGAAGGTGTATAAAAAAATAGTGGTAGCAAGGATCTGACTCTACTTATCTGACAAAATAATATATATGTAGAAGCACAAACTATATCCTTTTTTGTATATTTGCAGAAGGTGATGGGTCAAGATAAAACTCTGAAAAATCACGAGACACAGTTTGGTAAGTAATATAACTTAGATTGACACAATTAAATTTCTGAGTTAAAATAAAAAGCAATAACAAAAATAAAAGTTGAATTAAAAACCTACTTTTACAGTGTTTTTAACCACATACTGTATTGTGATTATTAATGAATTTCAAGTTAGTTTACCTTAGTTACGGTTCAGTAGAGACTTTTTAGCACGTACTTGTACAATTTGCTGACAATTAGATGAAACAGAATAAAAACACGACATTTGTCAGGTCAAATTTAAGGGGAGACAAATGAAGGTAACAAGCAGAAACTGAGGGAATCGCATGCACTCCAAAAAGTACCGAGACTTGGTGCGTCGACATGGTAAGCATCTCCTGCTATGCATTCATCACCCGCCATGCGAATTCATATTCAGTCAAAATGTCACAATCGGAAATAGGTCACAATCGGTAAAATTACAAACAAGACGACTTTACTGGTATAAAGAGTTCTATGACCACGAACACATGTCTCTAGTGAGTTTAAACACCGACACATCATAACGTCAATCAAATCGCGATGGAGAATATAAAACGAATGTTGTGTCTTTTTCACACCCCTGTTCATGAAGTCTGCATAGTGTGAACATGCACAAGTGAGACGTATTAACTGAAATAAGTAAACGCTATACGATGGAGCAGAGTTTATGCTACTGCTGAGAAATTGGAAGTTGACAATTGGAAAGTTGTTATCATCACGTTTGTCATAGAGTCTACTTAGAAGTCGTCAATCTATGTCAATATCGAGGACTTTCGGTAGTATCCTTAATTTCAAGTTCACTGGGAGACATGAGATATAAACACTCGTTGAAATGTTGGTTATTGAAAGACAGAACATTATCAACATATCTGAAAGTAAATTAAAGGAGGCTCTGTATGAATTTTGATTCACATAAGAACTAAAAAAGTCGGCCAGTAGTTATGCACAATTGGTACCTAATAAAATACCGACTGTCCCATGAACTATTATTGCATTAAACTCAACAAATATGTTGCCGATGATCAAAAGCAGTAGTCGCAGGCACATACTAATCCGATGAAAACATTCATTCAGTGACGTCACAATTGAGTGAAAGAGGCATGGATTATAATTATGAGAATTGGAACATATCCGTGGTCATCTGTTACACAGATATTCAAAGATCCAAAGGTATAAAATCACAACTCGCATTTAACACAAAATAATGATATTATTAAAAAATAAAAGTCAACAACAACAATATACAATTAAATTCTAAGGAATGATTACAGTAGCTAACAAGGTAACATGGCATGAAATATTAACGGTGGTATATCAGAGTCATGTGTGCATCCCTGAACTTCTCTCATCCAGCAACAACACCCGTGCCTAAGATGGTAAGCTGTATGGCTTTGCAGGATATATAATGCGCACATAAATTCATTCAAACATTTCCCATGTTTGGGTCTGAGAGTTCTTGATAATGGTAAACTACGAAAAGCTCCTCGGACGCACGAAGTTTATAAATTTTTATGTTCGTCTCTTATACGGGGAATGCGACACTTTTTGCACGTCAAACAAAGCATGCATTAAGTCCATAGATCCATTGTTGGACATACTCAAGACAATATTTCTGCATCTATCTAACAAACCGTTTAATTGTAATTGCAATTCTGCCTATCATCCCGGTCGATCAATTTTGCCACACCTACCACTGTATCAGTTTGTACTTATGTGGCCCTAACTATGCCAGCACTATTCGACAAACGAAATCAATCAATCTAAAAACTGAACTCAAAATTCGAAAAAAAGTAATATGGCTCTTTTGGCTTTATGATACATAAAGGTAGGACCTTTATAATGACTTTTCGAATGACATTAAACCTTGGCAAAAATGAAATGAATTTCTTTTTAACATTCTATAGATCCTTAGGGTAAATGAACACCTATTATGCGATTTGGGTTGTGCTATTTGTAGAAGCCGTACGGCGACCTGTAGTCTGTTGCATACTTGTGTTTTGGCCTCAAGTTGGTATTCATTTTATAGTAAAATCGCTTATTTTCATACTGTTAAGAAAAGAAGTGTGATGGCTTGAACCTTATATAATTCTGTCACAAACATTCTGAAAAAAATAAGCTTGAAATAACAAAAGCATTGTTTTAAAATATATATAAAAAATGGCTACATTCTTCTAACTTTATGTATAAAATATGGTTAAAAAATGCAATGCAGTTGATTACTCAATGATTATCAAACAAGATGACCGCCGTTGCTTAAACATTGGTAAATTCATAGGTTAAGAAAAAAATAAACAAACAAACATTAAGGTGCAATATAAAATTAAGAAGTGTAATGATTGCCATTTTAAAAAAAAAATAGTAACACTGTAATTTTCAGGACATTTTACGCGTTCGGTCTGTTTTCAATGAAATACAGGAAAAATGACTTATGTTAAGGTAGATTAACAGTGATCCGCCATCATTGATTGTAAAATAGCAGTACACAATCGGTCTAGTTCTTTGTTTAAATCTGCAAATTTTGATGTATATCACTATTTTAACTGTTTCAACAAATACTAAATATTTGCTTTTGTTTAAATCGATTTTTCTAAGCCAGTTAAGGGGAGATAACTTAAATAGGAAAACTTTTAAAAAGGAACATTAAAGAAACTTTCATTGTTTACTTGTAGCAAGAAAACAAATTCGGTAACACAATTTTTCTTTTCATTTTCTGAAAGCAGATAATATATTCTACTTTCTCATATTTTATTTCAAAGTTCTATCGCATAGATTTCTTTTTATTCACCATTAGTGTTTTTTATTCATTAATAATCTATGAAAAAAATTGGCAATTTTGCATGACTTGTAGCTTGAAAAATAGCACGGTGACCAATATTTTGTATTAAATTTTTGAAAAGAAAGCATGGTTAAATACATTTTGTCAATGAAAATTATATCTGATCAAATATGTACCAATTATCCACCTTAAATAGAAAACTTTAACTCTACATCCCGAGAACACAACAATGAACTAGATAAATCAATCACGGATTGAGTGAGGTTTGTTATGTTACTTATCGAGTTGCAAACATATCAAACATGTTTACTAGAATCGTTAATTGAATAACGCATTCAAGAGGGATACCCTTAACTATCATTGGAAAGGAGTGTGCAAATATGGTATATAATTGCAAAAACAATAAGACAAATAAGTATATTAAACGAGAGCAGAACGTTTGCCAGGCTAGCATTCACAGATTTTTCGTAAGGATTATCTATCAATAAAAGATAAGTCACAGATTTAACATACACATTTCATCCGGACATTGATGTCTATGTATACATGCAACTAAGGTAAAATTGACGTCTTGTCACCCACAGTTGTGTTAAAGGGGAAGTTCAGATTATTATTTACCCTTAGAATATTGTCTCATTTAAAGCAAAGATTTTTTTTATTCCGTGAATATTTGATGTCGTAGTTTTACAAAAGTCTGGATACAAGCATATAAAAAAAATTATACTTTATTGGACATTTAAATTCGATGTTTACCTACATCTACGAAACCCATGAAAATTGAAACATCACGAGTAATACTGATGAATCCACAGAAAATATTATTGGTTTTTCTTATGGTTGTAACAAAGCTTTGATATATAAATGTAGAGCTTTTTTCAAAACTAAGTTTCAGTTTAAAAACTGTATTTCTACTAGGAAATGTATTTTATTATATTTATATACTTCTGCAAAATTACCAATCTAAATTTTGGTCACTGAAATGACAAATGGAAGCTAAATTGCATTTGTCCGTCCGTCCGTTCGTTCTTCTTTTAGTTCATCTGTTCGTACCCAGTTATGAGTGCTCGCCGTTACTTAAAGTTACCTGGAAGCAAAAATAAAGTATTAAGTAAATGAAGTTCTTCCAAACTAAATTATCAATCGGAACACATCCTACGAAATTTGTGTATTGACGTCATAAACATTCTGAGAAAAGTATGACCTTGTGGAGTGCAAAATATAAGTACATACTTTAGACAGTATGTAGGACCATAAGTTCCAATAATTGTATAGCATAAAATTGAGAATGGAAATGGGGAATGTGTCAAAGAGACAACAACCCGACCAAAGAGCAGAAAACAGCCGAAGGACACCAATGGGTCTTCAACACAACAAGAAAATCCTGGCCCCTAAACAAAAACATGTACTATTTTAATGAAAATGGACGTCACACTAAACTATAAAACATATAAATGAACTAAAATTTAAAAAACATACAAGACTAACAAAGGCCAGAGGCTCCTGACTTGGGACAGGCGCAAAAATGCGGCATCATCAAATTTAGTTATGTTTTAACTTATCAAAAACAGAATCAATGCAATTACAGATAAAAACAATATCCAGAAATCTTTATACGGCGTTGTTAGCATGCATCATATCTAAATTTACAGGCTTAATAAACACATTACCGTTAACATTAAGATGTAGCCGATATTCTGATTGTTCAAAATGTAAAATGAACTTAAACTTTTTCATCACTCTTTTTCTAAATACTACTGAACAGAAACAATCCATATTTAGGTGACCATAAATTCAAAATCCTTATATATTCAACCAATTTGCTTTAATTTTCACAGTTCTCATAATATTTAACCTAAAGTTCAACTTCCTGAAAACCATGAATAACCCAAATTATACATGTATCAACTTTCTGCATGCAATTTTCAAACAATGTCTGTAGTCTTGTAGTGACACATGATGTTTGAGACTTCCCCTAACAGCATGTTGAGTTACTGAAAATCTTAATTAGAATACTATTGCGCACATCTACATTAAAATTGTGTTGCAAGTTCATGAACAAGTAAATTTGGGCTCAAAAATATATCTTTCTCAATAAAAAAAACCGTCACATTCATATAATTCATTTGCTAGTTTAAGTAAACAACAACAACACCAAATGCACAATTTTATTTGTCAGAGTAGGCTACCTTTGCATAGATTCTAAATGAAAGTGGGTGAATTGTTGGTGTGACACTTAAAGTAAACAGTATTGCAGTGATCGTGTGGGCCCTTTTATGATCTGTCAGACACACACTTCCTGTTTTCTGATAATTAATCTTTCAATTACGATTTGTCTTAAGCACGACGATGCATAATCATGTTTTTTTTTCATTTTCGATGTTTGTATTACATAATACCGTTCCTGATTGTAATGCTTCTCATATAATCTCGAATCTTACAATATTCCTTTTGTTTCTTTCGCCTCTCTGTTACAATTTAGTTTTTGTTAAAATAATTCTTATATTTACCTTTCATTATTTTCAGAGGAAGTAAGAGAACGCCTAAGTCTATGCCCATGTCGTGGTGAGTTTAAGTTAAATGTATTGATTACGTAGTGTTTGGGCATCTTCCGTAAAAATAATGCATACATATATTATAAGGTTTTTCTTGTATAACACCCCTCGGTGTGTTATACGGCAAGAAAAACTTTAAAATATGCATTATCTATAACTTATCACATACAAATGCAGCATATCAACGTCAGTTAAAGAAATCATATCAGTTGACTCTATCAAATGTAGTTTTTTTGGCGATCGTGGATTCTTGAAAGATAATCTTTTAGTTTAATGTGGATAATCATTATACATTTTCTCAGAAATAAAATACGGTCACACTTGGTCTTCTTTCGACCTGCAGTAAAACCCATGCCAAAGTGGGGCGTCCATCTGGCTGTGCGGGATGTACAAGTACACAGGTACGTCCGGTCAGAATGGGAACGTTTAATCCGATGCTTCGTGTAAAGGGGGTGCCACGCTCTCTGCACGTTAAGAACCCTTGCATCAACTCTTTGATGAGTCCATAGGTGGCGTGTTGCAGAGCTACATTTCTGTTCTTTTCGAATATACCTCTTTTTCCAGTGGCAGTCCAAATTTTTCCAACCTTCATCCCTGACGGCCTCAATTACAGAACCTACCTATTGCATTTATTGTTATTTTGTTCTCGTCATGAACAAGCATGCAATATTTGTCGAACATCATCTAAATAAAGCATTTAGAACAAAGACAATATTACGAAAGTACGAAAAATTAAATTTCAAATGACAACACGTGGAAACTTATCTCTTTTTTACTGATATCACCTGTTCCTGGCAAACCGTTTCAAAATCAAAAAACGTATTTAGTAAGCATAGATTGTCTTAGTCCTATTTGACACAACTTATCGGAATTTTCGGTTTCTATTGATCTTCAACTTACTAATTGATTTCACATTCCAACTGACGAGTCTTGTGTAAATGAACACAAACTCATCAAAGATACGCGCATCATGCGTACCAAATTATAAGCTAAATATCTTTGATAAGTTTTAACAATAACTGTGTCGACGTCGATGCTGGTAGACGTTTGGTCCCAGAGGATATTATCCGCTAAGTATTCAGTTCTTTTGTGCTGACATGAAATTATTGATTTGTTAATTTTCGTTAAATCAACTATAAACTGTGGAATTATTCAAAACACTAAGGTTTTTTCTCCCCCGGGCATAGATTGGCTTAGTCCTTATTGACACAACTTTTCGGCATTTTCGGTTTTTAATGCCCTTTTCTTTCTATTTGATTTGGACTTCCCTCTGTTGCGATACTTTGATACGAGCACTAGTTAATGAATTTTAGTCTGAAACGGTAAATTTGAACTTAATAAGATCTGCAAAGAAGTGTTAACAATATACTATTCAGTCATGTTAAGACTTATCCATTGCGGTAAATTCAATAATGATAAGACAAAAGACAATTTGCCTACAGTCAATTCAGTACTGTTCAGTAACATTTCAGACAATTCAGTATGATGTTGATGAGAACAGGTAAATAGCAGATACTGAACATGCTGAACATAGACTGAACAGATGTTAACTGACTACAAGGGATTTCTATGAACAGTGCTGAATTTAACGCAGTTGATAAATTGACTGAAAACTGAAAATGACGTAATAATATATTTTTCAGTCTCTTAATGTTTATGACCTATCTGTAGTCCTGTGTCTTACGAAATTTTTAAATTGCTACAATATCAAACAGTAAAAATACAGAATAAAAGTAACGTGCCATTTTGAAAATATATCGAAGAGGGGAAACGTTGTTCAAAGCAATAGTTTTAAATATTTCATTGCATTTAATTAATAACTAGAAAATAAGGATTTGGTGGCAAATAAAGCCAAGGTTTTGCAAAAAAACACACAGACTTTATCACAGATAGTTTAGTTATAAATTTTTTTAAGATAGATTACTCACTTGTTTATCCATGATGTGCTATCATGTATTGCATTCAAAAAGACCTAAACAACCTTTTCAATTAAAAAAACCTCGTGTTTATTTACTAAAGTCGAGCGCACCCTAGAAGGTGTACTTGAATAAGTTCATTTTTATATTGGTTGTAACCAATATCTTTATTTATATACTTATTGTAAGGAAATCATTGCCAACACTGCAGGCAATACTCCTCCATCTATTAAGCACCAAATTGTCATACATAACAGTACAAGTGGAATGGCTGTGGATTATTTATAAAATTTCCATATGTTTAGCATTGAAACAACAAAAGGGGACATTATCTTTAAGATCTGATCAGACCAAAATGACTGTTTCAGATAAAAATTGGTTTACTAGTGGAGCGTCATTGATGGGTATTATGTAAACAAAACGCGCGTCCAGGCGTACCAAATTATAAGCCTAGTATCTTAGATGAAATTCAAGTTACAATAACGACGATCTAAACAGAACCGTTCGGCAATGTAACTAAATCAGTTCCACCATGTACACATTAAAACCACGGATTTGCTATCAACAGCTTTTTACGAGAGAAAAAAGCAAAATGCCTGAAAAAGCGATTTAGTGATGAAAAGATGGCGTTTACTTAACATATATTTATCCCATGAATTGAACAACACTTATCAGAAAACACAAAGTAAACTTCTATTGATAACCATTACATTCATTCACATTACAAATAAACTGTTTTATCATTTTTCTTTATGATTTCTAACTTTTGTTAATGTTTTCCATTTCGTTTATTGAAACACACATATGGTATACAATTATGCTCCGAAACACTATTTAACGGGTTTCCAAACAGTACATATATATAATTCACTGCGTGTATTGAGTCCATCTCTTTTTCTATACAGACAATGAATTTAGTGGGCAGTAAGTTAAATATATAGGGGGCTTTAGCTGTAAATAGAAAGTTCGCGAAATAAAACACTAGGCGTGATTAAAATTGACTTTAAATATAGCTAAAAATTCATCTTTTCCATTTTCAGATTCCCATAATGTCGAGATAGAATCATGGAAGGAGGAAAGACAAATGTTCGTTGAAACACCTGCTGTAAATATGATTTCACATAGCATTACATCAGAACATAGTGTCTTAATAGTAGGTGAACCTGGCATCGGTAAGAGCTTTTTAATGCATCATATTGCTTTAAATCTACATTACAAGATGAAATATAGCATAATTCCATGTTCAGATATTCAGGAGATAGTCCAGCATTATAAAGAGGACGTAAGACAGATGTTTGTTCTGGATGATATTTGTGGAGAATACACAACTAGTTTTTCAGATGCTGAATATTTGAATAAAAATTAACACAAATTGAAACTGATGCTGAAAACGAATATTATCAAAATACTAGCAACGTTGAAAGATCAAAATGTACAGTTTACACCTTTAATGTGTTATCTGTATTCCAATAGTCAGAATTTTAATCTGACAGATTTTTTACAATGTCCTTTCGAAACATACCAAACAGAGTGGGACAAGTTAAAATCAATTGATCCAAACAAATACTGCGCGCTGTTTGTATGTGTTATTTACAACGGCATCATTAAAGAGTCATTATTTGATATTTATAATGAAAATAACACTAATAATAAATATGTCATTGAAAATTTGTTCGAAATCTGCGGAATAAGTCGTTGTACGTCTAGAAGTAAAATAAAGAGAGTTTTGGACAGCCTTGATGGAACTTATTTAAGAAAAACAGGAAACAAGTATATAGTTATTCATGACCAAATGTTTGATTTTATGTGCGGTTATTTTGGTAACAAGGATGAAATGGTCACAGGTATATTGCGTTATTCAGACATCAGAGTTATCAATGAACGGACACAATTAGAATCTTTTGATGAACAACATGGACAATTTACTATATTGATAACAAACAAGTATGAACAGGAATACTTCGATAGAATCAAAAATGAATTACAACTTGGAAAACTAAATCAGTGTTTTTACAATTCACAGATGAAGTTTGAAAAATTTAGAGCTTTTTTTCTCAAAATATTGAAATCTATAGACGATAGCTTACTCGTGGAACAACTAAACAAGAGAAACAGTTTGATGTATAAATTCACCGATTCATATAACAAAGATGATTTAGTTGCGACTCACGACTGTCTGGAATATGAATATGAGGATATGACTGATGGACCTTTTATAACAGCATGCAACCAAGGATATGATGATATAGTTCAATATTTTATTTCAAAAGGAGCTGATATCACACTTTGTGGTTTGTTCAATTCACCTCTGACAGCTGCTTGTATGGGGGGACATGCAAATATAGTAAAGGTTCTGATAGACAAAGACAGTGATAAAAACCAAACTAGTCGTTTAGGATTTACACCTCTGACAGTTGCGTGTATTAGAGGAGATGAAAAGATAATACAATTACTTATAGACAAAGAATGTGATGTAAGCCAGGCTGATGGTATGGGACGGACACCTCTGACAGCTGCTTTTTGGAGAGGAAAAGTCAATATATTACAATTACTTATAGACAAAGGATGTGATGTTAACCAGGCTGATGGTATTGGAGAAACACCTCTGACAGCTGCTTGAAGGGGAGGTGATGAGAAGTTCGTACAATTACTTATAGACAAAGGATGTGATGTTTACCAGGATGGTGGTATTGGAGAGACACCTCTGACAGCTGCGTGTAGGGGAGGCAATGAGAAGTTAGTACAGTTACTTATAGACAAAGGAGGGAATGTTAACCCGCGGTCGGTTGATGATATAGGAGTTACGCCTTTGACAGCTGCTTGTATTGGGAATAGTGAGAAAATAGTACAATTACTGATTGACAATGGAGTTGATGTTAACCAGGCTGATGGTAACAACGATACACCTCTTATAATTACCTGCAGTTTGGGAAGAAATGAGAAAATAGTACAGTTACTTATCAACCAAGGAGTTAATGTAAACCAGACTGATAGTATACGACATACTGCGCTTACTGCAGCTTGTAAAGGAGGAAATGAGAAGATAGTACATTTACTTCTAGACAAAGGAGTTAACGTTAATGATAATAATATGACGGGACAGGCACCTTTGATCGCTGCTTGTAGCAGAGGACATAATAACATTGTACAGTTACTTATAGACCAAGGAGTTGATGTTAACAACCCTTTCGATAAGACAAAATCACCTCTTACAGCTGCTTGCATCGGAGGATATGAGAAGACAGTAGAGTTACTACTACATCAAGGATATGATCCTCACCGGACTATTTTTACGCCAGTCACGCATTTGACAGCTGCTTGTTGGAGTCAAAATGAAAAGATATTCCAGTTATTGGTAGATAAGGGACTTGATATTAACGAGGCTGATGGCTTTGGTGTAACACCTCTGATGACAGCATGTGAATGCGGAAATTATGAAATATTTCAAATTTTGATAGCCAAGGGAGTTGCTATAGATCAGACCACCGAAGAGGGATTGACACCTATTACAGCTGCCTGTATGGCAGGAAGTGAGAAGATAGTAAAGTTACTGATAGATAATGATGTTGATATTGGCGATGCTGATTTTATGGGACCAACACCCCTGATAGCTGCTTGCTCCGGAGGACACGAACATATAGTAAAGTTACTGATAGACAACAGATGTGATGTTAACCAGACTGATTATGTTGGGCTTAACACACCTTTGATAGTTGCTTGTAGGAGAGAAAACAAGAATATAGTGAAATTACTGATAGACAAAAGATCTGATGTTAACCAGGATTGTGATTCTTGGGAGACACCACTTTCGGTTGCATATTCTAAAGGAAATATGGTGATAGCACAGTTATTGATAAATAGAGGAGCCAATGTTATCAGTTCATAAAGATATTAATATACAAAACCGAGAGCTGCCATCACCATAACAATAAAAAAACAGAATCAAACAGCAGTGGGGGTTTGGGTTTGCCAGAGAGCACCACTGATTTATATTTTCAAGACTTTAGAAGCCGAAAGTCTTAAAGTGGTAACTATGACGTCGTTTATCTTACAACGTTACATTCATTTGAAAATTCAATTGTTGATCGTGATAATCATTCAGAAATGCATGCGGTCGACAAACTGATTGATTGTTGATGTTTAACGCTACTTTCAGCACTAACTGCAACTTTTTGGCGGTAACTTTTTATTGGTGGAGGAAGACGTAGTTCCCGGAGAGAACCACCGACCTTCCGCAGGAAACCTGACAATCCTTGTGAATTAAGATTGGAGTCGAACGCACCTGCCACTTGAGGGATCTGAATTCACAACCTCGGTGTTGACAGAGTAGTGTTACAATCGTTCAACTACTTAGACCACTATGCCACTGAGGCCATCAGAAATACTAAACTTGAGCTAGTTAAAATAATTTTGAATAATAAATTCATTTTTTTAATAACGTCTTAAATTATGACTTTAACCTAGTTCTTCTTTATATTACATTTGCTACAGTATTTCAGTTTACAACAATATACTATATGTGTCTTATTTTTACCAGTTAAAGTGTGGAAATACTATGTGTATCATGGGTAGCATTACTATTTTTTTAACTGCACAGTGTCTCATTGTCTCCTTACACAGAAACTGCTCCAACAAAGTTATGAGGAGGACAGATTAAAAATGACACTCCGTAAATTTTACGGACACCATCACGAACTGGTTAGTCCATACGATGTGTCTTTGTCCAAACTAACTAAGGACATTTTTACAACGTGTTAGATTGTGGTTTGTCATTACGTCGTCTGATCTTTTAATTACCGAACGTGACTTATTCCCGATTGTGACTGTTTTGCTGAGTGTGAAACCGCATTGCTATAAGACGTGTCACGGTACCTTTCTATCCTAAATTCATGTATTTAATTTTGATGTTATATTTGTTATTCTCGTCGGATTTTGTCAAATGTCTTAACGTCTTTTCTGTTATATTCGTGTGTTATGGTAAAGATAATTAATCACCCCCTTCATTTATTAGATTTTAGTTTGGTTCAACGAAATTTATACGATATATTTGGTTTACAGTTTGATTCAGAAGAAACACCGACATAGCTAGATAATACAATTAATTATCTAATTACTACCACAATTTGATATTAATAAGTATTGTAATTTTCATTGTTATTAATAAATGTAATGTCAGTATTACAAATCTAATCTTGAATCAATCCTAATCCTATCTTATTTTTGGGAAATATTTTTACAAATTCAAATGTGACGTCACTTTGTGTGTTTTTTTAGAATTTCAAATGTGATTAAGTTGTTTTATGTAATGTATCCGGGTTTATTCTGTAGTTAGTCCCCGCTTCGGTTTTATCATGTATATCTATTATATAGTCATTTTATAAGATTTACTGTTTGAAAAATTATAAATTATTCTAAATAATAAGGATGTTCTTGTCCCAGGCAGAAAACCCTGGCCGTGTTAGGCGCAACCTTTTGGAAGTTTTGTCCTCGGTGCTCTTCGGCTTTGTACTTGTTTTGGCTTTCAAGCTTTTTTCATCTGAGCGTCACTGGATGGTCTTGTGTGGACGAGACGCACGTCTGGCGTATTGAATTTTAAGCCTAGTACCTTTTGTTAGCTATTATTCGTGTGTTTCTTTGTCCTATATGTTCTCCCATTTATTTGTATTGTGGTCTTGTCATGTGATGTTGTCGTTTTGGTGTTGTGTTTGACGTTGCCATTAAAGCGGGAGGTTTGGCATGCCACAAAACCAGGTTCAACCCACCATTTTTTTCTTAAAATGTCCTGTACCAAGTCAGGAAAATGACCATTGTTATATTATAGTTCGTTTCTGTGTGTGTTACATTTTAATGTTGTGTTTTTGTTGTGTCGTTGTTATCCTCTTATATTTGATGCGTTTCCCTCAGTTTTAGTTTGTAACCCGGATTTGTTTTTATCTCTATCGATTTATGAGTTTCGAACAGCGGTATACTACTGTTGCCTTTATTTAAATATCATCTGATAAAGCTGTATCTTCCACGTCTTTGATATTAAATTTCCTGAATTCTTAACAAATTGGTTAGTGGTGTTGTAAATATTGGTCTGATGTATCATGCATTTACTAGAATAAATTTAGTTATATTTATTTAAAAGGTTGTTTTACTTTGTACTGTTGTTGTTTTTGTCATACAACATATCGTTTATTTACTGTTTTTTCTTCTTTTTCCAATAGTGTCATTATCCAATTCCTTTGCATTCCGCTATATGTAGATTTTGTTTTCATTAAATACTGCACAGTTTTGTGACAACGTTGATCGCATCTATTTCATTGAAGTTGGAATAATGGGTACACACAGGTACAGTTAAATTTTATAGTATGCCTTACGTTTACACATGTATAATGAGGGGACTACTAAACTAAACTTAACGACAAACATGATGATTTATCATTTCATATCGTTAGATTTCATTTCAGTGCAGTGTTTATTAAGGATTTCTTTCCAATTGGTACGGTATTCTAGGACTCTTATAAATATTACTGCCTTCTATGAAATTACTATGAAATTACGATAATATGTTAACTATGTTATAATTTGAAGCCTATGTTCCGGATGCACAGTTTTTTAAGCTAGTTTCGTATATGACGAATTGAATGAACAGCAATACTGTGTAATATTATATCTAACAGAAAGCAAGATATTTTGCAGTATGATTTTATATGAATTATTCTTAAAACCATGGAAGGATATATTCTGTAGACACATTCTAAAATAATAGCTTTTGTGATAACATTTAAATGAAAATAACATATGTACTTATATGATTGTTTTAACTTTATTGTGATGGTTATTTTACTTAAATGATCCTCTGCTATTGTCATTTGCATTATTCATGACGGTCATTAAACAATATAAATAATTAAGATTTGAAACAGGGGCGTAGCTTGCCTGAAATAAAGTGGAAGCATAAGTCTTGTATCGCCGAGCGGAGCGAGGCGAAAAATATTTTGGGACCTTTTTATGCAGGAAATGATCATTTTTCGGTCATTTTCCAGGTATGCCATGCTTATGAAATTCACATTACTCCTTATTAACATGGTTGTCTTCAAATATAAAATAAATTTTATAAAACGGGAAGATCAGTCGACAAGTCAACCGAAGCGTTTATCAATAGAAGGGCAATCAATGGACACATGACCAACCCGGGAACAGATAAGACACAAAAGGACAAACAAAAACATTCAATATTGAAAACTAAATACAGATAAAAAAAACACGAACCCCGAAAAAAAATGTGGCGACCTCCAGTGCTCCGGAAGGGTAAGCAGGTCCTGCTTCTTGCAAGACACCCGACCGTAGCGTTTCTCACTTTGGTCATTTTCGAATCAAAGGAGCCTGAGGTTTCTACGACAACGGTAGAAGGTCACTTGGGACACAGATACCCAAGGTGAATTAATAGTCTTTTGGACAAACGGACAATGGGAATACTAAATCAAACGGCGACTTTTAAGTCTTGACTTATAAGTGAGGGATATAAATCTTAGATGTTTTCAAGGTTATTGTATTGAGCCTGTATTATTAAATGTTAATACTCATGTAAGACTTAAAGTAAAGTTAATATCCAAAGTCCATATATCTATTTTTTGCCAAGGCAAAAGATCGCAGAACTCTCTCGGTGTCGATATTCATTTCTCTGTGAACATGTATGAGCGCCAACGAAGATAGTCTGTCCTATACCATGGTTGAACGGGGATAAGTTTTCAGTCGCCGTAATGCACTAAATGACCGTTCAGTAGTTGATGTAGTTACTGGCATTGTAACTAAGATTGACACGATTGCAAACTATTGAAGGATATAGTTTCTTTTTAGTCACTGCTAGAGACATCAGAGATTTGGGCTACTCTATAACATCTGGACCCGACCAGCGTTTCTGCCATCTCTTTACCTCAGAGTTGAAGGTTTCTTGATTGTCCGTCAAGTCGTGTCTAAATGTTTCGTATATTTTGTCTATACACTCTGCTGTCAAAGATTCCAAACGTGCAGGTATTTAATTGAAATTAAGGTTCTGGCCTTGAAAACGATCAGAATTATCCAGTAAACGTCCTGTGAGTTCTTCAATGAAATAGTCAAGAAAGGAAAAATACAAGGCTCGCTTCCAATATTGACTTGGAGTGTCAGCTGGATAGTTAGCCCGGTTGACCTGTCTTCCTACTCATTCGTAATTTAATTTCAGAATTATTTTTTTTTGTGAAAAAAATGTGCAAGCAAATGATTTTTTGCGTAAAGGCAGCTACGCGCCTGTGAAATAAAGTATTTTATTGATACTTGTATGTATCCTTCTTATATTCCACATTTTAACACATTTTGTGTTAGCGTACTATGCACTGTATCGTTGTATTTTTCCTAGTCATTTGGATTTGTTTTTTCTGTTTATTATAATTTGCAATGTTATTAAAATTGAGAATGGAAATGGGGAATATGTCAAAGAGACAACAACCCGACCACAGAGTAGACAACAGCCGAAGGCCACCAATGGGTCTTCAATGCAGCGAGAAACTCCCGCACCCGGAGGCGTCCTTCAGCTGGCCCCTAAACAAATATGTATACTAGTTCAGTGATAATGGACGTCATACTAAACTCCAAATTATACACAAGAAACTAAAATTAAAAATGATACAAGACTAACAAAGGCCAGTGATTATTTGTAAGTATGTAAGTGCTTGATCCATCACATCTAAGTACCTGTTATACGCACACCGCAACAAGTTCCATTCTTTTTATACACTACAGTCATTATACTTACTAATAAGAAGTAGTCTTACTGTACAAACATTGTCGTAAGTTTCGAATATTTGTAAATGTCGATTAATCCGTATTCTTCAGTGTTGGACAACTTACTGTGGTTTGATCTTTGATGAACTTTTATTCTATCTAGTAACATATCGGAAATCGCTTTGTCAGTTAGTCCACTCTCCCTTCATACTCTCTTTCTGTCGTTTCGTTTGTGGATCCAAAGGAAACCCCGGATGATAATTTTATTATACCGTGAATGATGTAAATGGCACTTATACAGATAATGGAGATAAGGAAGGGAAATAAACTTATTTAGTGTATGGTTAACAGGTCAAAGGTCCTTATCGCTTAATGAAAAAAATATTGGTGTCAGGATGATATCTATAATATGTGATGCATTTGTGCAGGTGAAAAGTGGCAATAATACTTAATTTATTTGTCCTTATTCCAATCTTAAGCATACTATTGCTGTGAATCCTTGAAATACAAATGTGTTGTTTCCATAAACGTGAGCATGAATTGACAGTGCCAGCTTTTTGTTTGATTATCAAATGTGTGTATTTTATATTTTAATATTCGCTTTTAGGGTGAAGTATTGTAGGACAGTATTCATTTTTGTCACATGTTTAGCATTAAGAATAAAAAATCATGGTTCATTCAATGATAGCAAAAAATGTAACAACCAGACATAGCAAAGAGCCGAACTAAAAGCAATTTACACTGTCAGTTAGCGATTGCAGACGATATGAATTTAGTACCTAAATATGGAAATAAGAAATCTGACTGATACTGATTTCATATTAAAATTTTTGAAATCTGTAATTTTAAAAAAGAAGATGTGGTATGATTGCCGACGAGACAACTCTCCACAAGAGACAAAATGACACAGAAATTAACAACTATAAGTAAACGTACGGCCTTCAACAATGAGCATATTCAGCTATAAAAGGTCCCGAAATGACAAATGTAAAACAATTCAAACGAGAAAACTAACGGCCTAACTTATGTACAAAATAATGAACGAAAAACAAATATGTGACACAGCAACAAACGACAACCACTGAATTACAGGCTCCTGACTTGGGACAGGCACATACAGAATGTGACGGTTTTAAACTAGTTTGAAGGCGCCAACCCTCTTTTAACCTGGGACAGTAGTGTAACAGTACAACATAAGAACAAACTTTAAAAATGAGTTGAAAAAGGCTTAACTCATCAGATGGATACAAATAGAAATACATCTAACAAAAACACAGAGTGGACGTGGACGGGTACTTGAACATCCAAACAACAAAAAGACACTAAGTACAGATCTGAGAGTACTCGCAGTTACTGACAGCTAGTTTGATCATTTTAGATTATGTGTTTTAGTTATTTATACATATTTGTTATTATCAGTTTTTAAAAGTTGTAATCACAGTGATGCATTCAACTAGTGCAAAATATCTCACCTCAATGAAGTTCGTTTCGGTCTATAGTGCATTAAACAACACAGATTTGAGAAAAAATGTTTCGTCTCAAATCTTTATACATTAGTTTACAAGAAAAAAGAAAAATATATACAAATATGTATTAGGAAGACCAACAATATTTTCCTGGATCATGCAAGATAAAAATAAAGAGAAAAGGTATGAGTGTCAATGCAACATCTATCCACCAGAGGTCAAATGAAGAGGATGTAAGCAATTATTGGCCACCGTACGGCATTTAGCAATGAGAAAACCCTTACCGTGTAGTCGGCTATAAAAGGTCCAGACATGAAAACTGTTTTATTTATTATTTATAACAAAACAGTTTTAAGAAAAGCAATAATGACGGACATTAACCAACGACAACCAGTGAACTACAAGCACAAGAAGAATGTGACGGGGTTAAACATGATTGTAAGCGCACAACCCTCACCTTTACTTTGGACAGATGTGTCAATGTGCAACATAACAAGAAACTGAAAATAAGTGTTGCCATTTGCTGAACTCAAAAGATCGATACGAGCCATAAATACAACATACATAAAGGCAATGAACACAAAGCACCAAAATAAGAGTACTCGCAAATCCTGAAAGCTAGTTCAAAACCATATAAATAAACCATACTCTCCCAGACTTAAATATCAATCAGTTCCCATTCAACAGATTGAGTGCAAGGTATACTTCTTGGAAGTATATATGGTTATAATACTTAAGCTGGTAATTGATATTATGATTTGTACAACAGTAAACTGACATTCTAGTTCCCAAAACTCTCATTTTGCTCCTTGTGTAGTTAATCTCTACTATCTATTAAGGAAACCCATGCAAGGATTATTTGAGAAAGTGAGAACCGTAACCATGTCCTTCATTTAATATATTAACGAATAATAGTGCACACGATAATTTATTTCAGCCTCATTTATGTCGTGGTGGTATTAACTTAAATCGAGATTTAGTTTTTTTCTGTGTTTTTATAAAAGTATTATTTCATATCTCAATTCCGACCTTTTGTTTTTGTGCTATGGTCATTTTTTGTATTCTTGTCTTTAGTTTTTGCTTATGTGTTTTGTCTATAGAGTGTCTTTATGCCATCTTGTTTTTCTTTGTTGACATAGTTGTTTGTTTGTTTTTACAGTGTTTAAGATTATAAAATAATGTTGATTGCTGTACCCCAATTTTTGACATTTTACCTATAATGTTTGTTTGTTTTGCTCACACATTGTTGTCAATATAATGTAATTCTGTGCGACTGTCATACAAGTGAGAGGTTTAGCTAGCTATAAAATCAGGTTTAATCCACAATTTTCTACACAAGAAAATGCCTGTACCAAGTCAGGAATATGACAGTTGTTTTCCATTCGTTTGATGTGTTTTAGCTTTAGATTTTGCTATTTGATTAGGGAATTTCCGTTTTGAATTTTCCTTGGAGTTCGGTATTTTTGTTATTTCACTTTTTCTTATTGGCAATCATACCACATCTTCTTAATTTTGAATGTATGACTATATTGAAATGTTCAATAAAAGAAAAAAACTGGTTTTTCATCCTTGCCCAAAGCGCTGTACTATAGTGCCAAAAGAATAGTCATAGAAAGCGTTAATTTGATCCGGCATGTGTAAAACACATAATACATAATTTCTCACGAGTTTTTTGCTGAACATAAAAACAAAAACAAAGAAACATCTTCTGGTGTGTTTATTCCATGACAATAACTTAATTGATTCTCGTTATGGAATATACCGCGTTCCCTCATATTTAACAGTAATAAAACAGACATAATGTATATATAACTAATCCAACTAGAAACAAAAACGACAACAAACTGTCATCACCGTTCCCATCTGTATTGTAGCATTTTTAGATTCTATTTATAAAAACATATAATTTGAATTTGCAACTTGCACAGGTCTTATTATGTTTGTAATAAATCAAATCAGTGAAATATTTTTGCACAGTTCGGCCATGAACAAAAATGTCGAAATTCAGTTAAGTACTTTTTTTCTATTTTACAAAGAAACGTTGTCCCGCAAAGCAGCACGCTAGAATTTATCATGCTATTGCACGGACTCATATATACTAGAAACCATGTCAAATTTCTCAGTTAACTCCAGTAAACTAACAATAAACTTCATGATAAACGATTTGTTTTAGTTAACTACAGTTTACTTACAGTTTTGTTAGTAAAACCGTATATTTGGTCATCAATTTTATAAGAAAATTATGTGAATTGCTTAAGGTACCGTGAAAATACAAAAAATGGGAAATTTACAAATGTATTTTTATAATAAATGTTATCAATCTAATTCATTTTCGTGAAAAGTTAGTTTCTTTGTTCATCCATTAAGAGGTGTCTCGTAAGTCAGTATACTATCTTTAGTTGACATTTCAACATACGTTGTATTGTCGTTGGGATGTAATGTACCTCGGTCTGAATGGTCACTGTAAATATAATGTACACAAATAATTAAAAAAAGATCTATTCTATATATGTTGATATCTAAAATATGAATTATATTGAAACAAAAATTATGCAGATGATTTTGGCTCAACTAAAATGTAATATTTGAAATATACTGATTTAACAACAAAGAAGAAATAAAGCATTGGAGTCTGTAATACTGTTTTTATTTTGTACAGTGGGGTATCCAGTGAACGAAAACAAAAGAATATTCACTCTTCTTATGATAGAGTCGAGAAAGCCAATAATAAAACAATACCGGTGACGATACTGATCAAAAGTTATTTCTAAATAATAATTGTAAATTTTAAAGAAATTATTTATTAAACTGTGTTATTAGAAATAAACATGCAAATACACGATGTTTTATTTTCAGTATTTATCGAGATAATTGCTTTAGAACCTTTTGAAACTGAAATTTAAAAACTGACAATCTTTGCTGCATATTGATAAAAAAAAAATTGGAAAAAATCATGTACATACAAAATCGAAAGATCTTTCGGGTCACCAATTTTCTGAGTGTTCCAAAAAGTCCTTAGCATGTTACAATTTCCCAAAGTATGCTTATTTTTTCACACCTAAGTTAATGAACACACCGGTCTGCTCTTGTCACATGTACATTCAATAGAGAACTATTGTCTTTTCGTGAATATAAACATTTACAAGTCTGTCTGTTTTGTATACAATTTTAAGAAAAGGTCGTCTCGAGTTTTGTTCAAGTATTTACAGTCTTCTCGATCTATTCACATTCAATGCTTACATCGAGATAAGGTCTGTTTGATTTTGCTTAGTAACTTAATTTCAAAAGTGCCAATCTTTGCTGCATATCAATCGATTCCTTTGAAATGTATTCCCCGACTTTCTCTGATCTAGCTGTATATATTTACGAATAATTAGCATGTTCCAGAGAGGAATACAGACAGTAAAACAATTGAAGTTGGTTCTCCAGGAATTTATTCGCATAGCAACATTTTAAACCAATTTTACTCCAAACATCTTTATCCGGCTGCACTCGTTGTTAAGTAGGAAAATGATAACATTGAGTGGAAGTTTTGTTTTTATTTCAATTTATTTCTATTTTTACTATTTAACAGAATGTTTTTCCGTGAATCCATAATTGATAGCGTCCTTGCAAAAATGGGACAAACATTGAGATGATCTAGTTTTCAGTGTTTACAGGGGAGGTAATATTTTGTCACTAGATTTCCCACTGTGTATGTTTGGGTATTCCTGGAATCCTATAAGTATAATAGACGAAATAACGAATAATAATGTCGTTAATTCAGAAAAAGTATAATGCACTTTTTGTTTACATGTTTACAGTGAAAAATCTATATTATTCATAAAACTATACCTTAGCGAGGACGATTCATAATAATCTTTGGATATAGACACAGACAAGTTTATATATGGTTTCGTCTGTTCTAACATTACTTCTAACTTCTTTTTTAATTCTGTAAATGATGGTCTGCAATATGGATTAGGATGCCACACCGATAACATCATTTGATATCTGTAATAATTGTGAACACATTATAAGTACATTAAAATGATTAAGATGTAGAAATAAAGGTCGGCAAAATGAAGAAATACTTTCATTATATTTTAACAGTTTTGTTATCATTGAGATAATTTGATTTGATAGTAGATCTATCGGGTCTCAAACTACTTTGGCTAGAGGTCACGTTTTGTTTTTTTATTTTGTGTTTTGTTAGTATTTTGTTTGTTGGTTTCGTTGCAAATTTTGCCTCATTGACGTCACGAACAGTTCCCATTTAACCTTATCAAACCCATATGACATATTGATGTAGAATGAAAGAGCGCATGGTGGAAGTAATAATGTTTTTATATTATGGTTAGTCATTTATAAAAATTAAGTCCAAGAACATGAAACACGATTTGAAAATTTAGATGTATGAAACATATACATATTGCAAAATTAAAAATGAACATAAAATAGGTTGAAACAGTAATATCTATTTATGATTGCAGCCCAAGAGCTTGCCAAGTACTGATTTTTGACATTTTTGTCTGATATTTATTACAGTTGTAGAATAGATGTCAATTATTTTGACATGGTGTCTTTGTATACGAAAACATTTAACAAGAACGATATTCTACAAATGTCCAACTTATTCATAATTTAAATTGTGATTCATTGATTGTACTAAAACTAAGTCTGCAAATCCCTTACACAAGATTAACCTTCTGTTAAGCTCTAATGGTTGTTATGTTAAGCCCTTTCCTATATCTACCTTTCATAAGTGGTCTTGTGCGTGCCTGGTAAAAGATTTTCAGGGAACATTTGTCATACACACGGAAATGGTATTATAACTTTAAAATAATTGAAATACGACACTGTTGTTTTGTCGCTGAAATAAACTTCCCTCCTTGAATTTTTTTCATAATCGGACATATATTTTCGATTTCATTAACTACAATGTTTTCGATGCTATTAAAAGACAAGATTTCTTAACAGCACTTACACTTCCAAACTGCAATTTTCTGGTTTCTCCATACGATATCCTTCCTTGAGCAAATTAAACAAGTCTTTGTTTGGAATTCCTGGATATGGACTTCCTCCTAAAGTAACAATCTCCCATAAAACTATACCAAACGACCAACTAAAACAAAAATATTTGTTTTCAACATAACTACTCTCATTGTTATCTTTCTTTCTAAACAAAGAGTGGATTGATATATCAGTAGAACTTAAATACATGTATGAAATATATATCTCCCAGTAGATACAATATTCCACGGGGTGTTTGTCTCGTCATGATTTTCGTGATAGATGATTAAGGGAATATATTTACCCTATTATTTTTAATGATAAAGTTAGAATCATTCTTCGAAGGTTTTACACATATCATAATAAATTTGGATGAAAATTGAAGAATAGTTAATAAGCAAATATTTTTTTCACGTGCCGTAGCCACAATCCCGTCTTCAACGCATTAATGACCAAAATAGCACGACGGATACCACCAATGGAGTAAGAACTGCTAACCCTTCTGCTGCATCTGTGTTCATCCCCAGGTTATTGTAATTTTCGAGTGTTTTAATCTTTCTTTTTTGTGGTGTTTTGTGGACTCTTGTTTCATCGTTTTTCAGCCATGGTGTTATCAAAGTATGGTTTTTATTGACCCTTCGTAAATTACTCCTCTTTGTTGTGCTATTTTTGAAACAGTTCTTATGTATGTGGCAAGTTGTCTGTATTTGAAATAAGCTAATTGAATCTCAAACTATCGCATCATTCTGAAAAAAGAAGCCCAGTTAATCAGACTAATGAATTCTTTATTTACATTATCACTTTCAAGTTAAATCATAAAGTAATGTAGTGCTGAATGATTTATATATTTGATAGTTACGGAACATTTTTTTTCTTTTTACTTAATAATTCAAAGTTTTATTGAATATGTAGACTGATTGATATCAAAGAATTCAAAATTTAAGAGTACGAGAAATACAATAAGATCTCTGTCATATCTTAACTTTATTTAAGGCAAAATTAGTTCACCGATGTTTTAATTTCAGACAAACCAAGGTAACCCACATAAATTGAAGATTTCCATGAACTCCAAACGGACCGAGAACGAGTGTGTCGACTGGGTAGGGGTCTACTGCTATGCATGCATCTAAACTTTAACATAAAAAAAAAAATTGAGAACTATTTACAATTTACGTCAAAAGAGAAGGCTTAACTTGACCCATTATTGTTTTTGAGTATGAATATAGAAGGTGTATATATAAAGAATGTATCCCGCAGATACTTTAATATTCCAGGGCTAGTAATTATTATCATGTGTATTGCTATAGAGGGAGGCTGATAACTGAATACTAAGTAAGTTGGATATGAATACTATTCGCACAACACGTGTTTCTTGCATAGCCATCTGCAGTTTTTTTTTTTTAGATAGACTAATTTTCTTTCTTTCTATATTTATTTTATTTCTTTCACTTATTTTTTTTAATTTAGATAGACTAATTTTCTTTCTTTCTGTACTTATTTTCTTTCTTTTACTTATTTTCTTTCTTTCTATGCTAATTTTCTATTTTTCTATACTTATTTTCTTTCTTTACTTATTTTCTTTCTTTCTATACTTATTTTCTTTCTTTCTATAATAATTTTCTTTCTTTCTATACTTATTTTCTTTCTTTCTTTACTTATTTTCTTTCCTTGTATGCTTATTTTCTTTCTTTGTATACTTATTTTCTTTCTTTCTATACAAATTTTCTTTCTTTCTATGCTTATTTTCTTTTTTTCTATACTAATTTTCTTTCTTTCTTTACTTATTTTCTTTCTTATTCATACTTACATATCTGATTTGATTGTAAACACTTGGTCAAATATGGCTTCCAGTGCCATCCATTTGTATGGGAGTTTCCTTGCTGAGGTAGGTTGATAAAGATTTCTTTCGTAAATATCTCGTGTCAGACCAAAATCAGACACTTTTAGTCTCTCTTCATCATACATTAGTATATTTCGTGCAGCTAAATCTCTGTGAATGAATTTCTTAGATGCCATATATTCCTGAAATTAATATAATTTTAAAAAACAATTGTCTACCACACAGGACTTCTAATCACTAATTGATTGACCGATATACTGTGTCTATGTCTCATCTCACTAGATATATGATTTCGCAGTCTTTGGGTACTAGAATAGTCGCCAAATCTGTAAATAATTTACCGATTGTGACATTTGCCTTAGTGTGGATTTGCATTGCTAGAGATGCATGAATAGCAGGACGCGCTTACCTTGACAACATACTCGGTCTTGCTCGTTTAGAAGCCCATGCGTTTCTCAAGTGTTTGTTTTAATTTTCATCTCTTGAGGGTTTTATTACAAAGCGCTTTGGACGCATCAAATGTACAGAGCGTTAAGTTTTTTTTCAAGATAAAGAGAAACTGACAACTCCGTGGTAAAAAACACAAAACCACGAAAAACAAACAAATTCACAAAACACTACATAAAAAAAATCAACAACCGCGAGGGCGGGGGTTGCCACTTGGAACCCGTGGTTCAATACTTTCTTTGTAAGCAGCAATCTTTTATATGAAGGAAATCATGATGGGAAACACAAAACACAAGATCTGGAATATCGTTTCAACTAGGAGATATATACGTCATATACTGGAATGATGCTACATAGAAGTGAAAGTTCATAGCGAGAAAGTTTTCTCGTAAAGTTTAGTTCTCAAGCGACCCTTTTTGTCTAGATGTAACTCTAGATATAAGGCAAAAATAACTGTATGCATGGTATCCGTTATTACTATTTAATGAATTTATGAAATCTGCCTATAAGATATAGGAACAATGTCAAAACAAGACGATATGTATGATTGCCAATGTGACAACTCTCCACAAGAGACCAGATGACGAAGTAGGTTATCAACTATACGTCACCAAACGGCTTTCCCCAATGAGCAAAACTTAAACCGCATAACAAGCTATAAAAGGCCACAAAAGGACAAATGTAAACCAATCTAAACGAGAAAACTAACGGCCTAAAATATGAACAACAGTCGGTTAACAGAGGTGTACAGTTGATTCCCATAGGAATGTCGAGTGTCTGTTCATAAACCAGTCCTCCTACGTAACAAACAACCAACAATCAATCAATCCTACGTAACAAATGGTTTTATAGTATGAAAAAAGAATATCCAATGGTTATCATGCTTCATTAATACTAGTGTTCAAAGATAGATTCTTAATTTGCGTTGAAATTAATCCTTTTTTAAAACTTTTGACGAAATTTGAGCATTGTTGCATAAAGGCACTTCGAAAAATTAAGTTACAATTGTTAATTTTTAATATGCATTTCTGTCTTACTATTTCTATAACAACACTCACCATTGCTAGTACAATCTGTCTGGCATACGATAATAAACGATCTTGGTGTAATTCTGTTGATGGCTGTGCTGTAATGAATGAAAGGAGGTGTTGTTTATCGGTCAAAATTTTTTTTACTTTTACTTTTATCAAATAACACATTAATTTATATAAGGAAAGTGGGAGATTTAAAAACCATAAGTGACAGAAAGTAATTAATGTTGGGTAACACTTTTTACAGTTCTTGGTTTTACAGCACCACTGAACAGTGTAAAATTGACAAAAAATTGCCTCCGGAGTATTTTATCATAAACATATCATTTTAATGAGTTTTTTCTTAGCTTTTAACATAAAAAATCTAGACCAAAAAGTGTTGATAGCCTGCGATGTATGAGTAAATGAAGAACGGTATATATAATTGTGACGGTAATTTGCAGTTATCTGAAATTGTAAAGAACCATAGCATATAAAGTTGACCCTGACCCACATCTTTAATTTTCGAGCAAAAGGATTTCGATTATAGACCTAGCAAGAAACTTTTCACATAATTTGCGTCTAAATTATCTAGAATCAGGAGAACAAACAAGATATGCACTCTATTATCTTATGCAAAATTATGTTCCTTATTTGACCATATTAGATATCAGATTAGAATAAAGAACAAGTGCTAGTTAACTAAAAATCTCCATGAATTAAATGATTTTCAGAAATAGGAGTATCGACAATGTTTTAAAAAGCAATTTTCCTTCCTCTAAAAATTTTACTCACATGAAAAAGAGCTTTCTACTGATGAGTTCATGCCACTATCACTGCCAGAGGAATGTCGCAGAGTTCTGTAATCCTTCTGTAGTAATAACTATTATCAATGTAACTATATATGACACTACGTAACAAGCATATTTGGTGATAAAATATGTAGCTTTGTTGAAAATATTTGACTAGCCGTTAACTGTAACAATTTTGCTATCATTGTGTTTCTAAAATATTATCATATAGTATCTTATGGCTCTTCTGTGAAGGTCTTTGTATGGCTCTCCATATTGAAATGTTCTTGCCTCGCCAGAAATCATAACAAATCACATGTTTGTCTCATTAATGGGGGCCATTTTGTACCCCCTTTCCGCCTCAAAAAAAAAGGTTTTGGGATAGGTATTATCCTGTCTTTCTTGGTATCTGTCCAAAACTAACTTTTGCATAACACGATGCGGCCCCTGTACTTAAATTTTTGATCCCATTCAGTATGCACTTTGTGGGCACAGCCCCTCCTGCATGCTTCGTCAAGTGTTTATTAAACTTTGTACATTGTAAGAACCTACATGACCATGCGGTTATAAGTAGAGTATCCTGGTTTGTTGACAAATCCTGTAGTATGTCCTACGTATTTCACAAGATGCTCATGAAACTTTGTACAGATGTACATTTTAAGATCAAACCATGAAGATGCGTACATAGGTAAATCCGTCAGGTCCGATGAAATATCCACGAGGAATGCCCCCTTGCGCTTAAAAATACTTGATTCTATTCAGTATGCACTTTATGGGTGCAACTACATGCTTCAAATGCTCATAAAACTTTGTATATTTTAAGATCCCAACATGAAGATGTGAACCTTAGTATGGCATTATGGTCCTTTGATAAATCCAAATGGTTATGCCCTTTGCAATTAAGAAACTTAATACTATTCAGTATGCATATTGTGGACGCAAATCCTCCTGTATGCTTCAATAGATATTTGATGTTAATAAAAACTTGATTGGAGGTGTTTGTATATAAAATTCCTGTTTTTACTTTAAAAACGACCACAAAAGATGAAGTTTTCACATGTTTCATTGAGTTTGCATATTGAAAATTGCATTCTTACCTGTAAACGCTGACGATAGTGTAATAAAAATGAACGTAAATCTCCTAGTCTACAGTAGTCCATCAATAAACAAACAGTGTCTCTTTTACAACATCCAATAAAACTAACTATATGCGGATGACTTCCTAACTGCTTCATAAATTCTATCTCCATTAGTAAGCTCTTCTTTTCGTGGGCATCATGAAAATCTAAAAGCACAAAAAAAACAGATAGATATTAATAAAGCATGAAAGGATATTAACAATTGTAACAGATGTATGCATCAACATGATCAAAGTTCTTATAGTTCTGAAAATTTGAAGTTTAATATTTATTAGGCGATTTTTTTGCTCTGAAATGTCTTTACCTAAACACATTTCACACAATTTGTTATACGATTCTATCCATTTAAGCTTTAAATGATTATGACTGAACAGTCGGGTCTTTTTCAATGTTGTAGATATTTCATCAGTGTCCCTTAAAAAACGTTATAAATAGGTAATTCAAATGATCAACCAGCATTTTTCCAAAAAAAATAAATAACTGACATGTGTATTTATTGGATTTAAAATAGGAATATCACTGAGGTCACTAGTCGAGCAATCCCCCGGATTTTGGTAATCTTCGATTTTCACAACTAGTTTCCCTTGTCATGTTTCATGGACCTTTTTTGTCAGTTTTTCTTTTTTCTTTCTTTTGGAGATTGATTTGTTTGCATATTATTCTGATGGTTTTTGGTTTTCTCCTTGGCATCTTTCAAAGATAGATTGCTTCGTATCATGACGTATACTAAGGAAATGACAGTGAACCTCATAATGAACTTTGAATAAAGATTATCACAGATACAGTTACATCTGCTTCATATTTTGACATTGCTCTAGAAATTGACAGTCATGTCGATTTGTCTATCGTGAATTACACTTTACGAAAAACGAGAGGACCTCAATGTTCAGATTGTGAACTTTCTATCTTTATGCAGCAGGCTTCAAGTACAACCTGAATATTAGGTAAATGTATCATAGTGTAAAAGATATTCCAGGGCTCGAGCTTTTTTAAAAACGTTCCTTTTTATTGGCTGCTGCTGACATGAAAGGTATTGACAAAAAATGTTATGTGAAAAGTTGAAGTAATCTCTTCGAGTCAGGATTTGCTTGACTGTTATGAAATATATGTGTCACAAATTGTTGCGGACACATACCATTTGTCCTATTATTCATCACGTCCGTCTGTCCCATTTATGGGTACTTGGATGCTGAATTATCCCCGGATCAGTACCTGTTCTGGGCAAAATGACAAGTGCTACTTTGAAAACGAGAACTACTCATCCTCACGACCATATGAGGACATTAACTTTCTTTGGTAGGGTTTGTGTTGCTTTGGATTAGTTTTATGTGTTGAATGGGTTGAAATCTGTACTGTTTTCTGGATTTGGATTTTTGTGTTGCGCAATTTTGTTCTGTTTTCATCTTTTTTCTTCCGATGCTGGTGTTGTTTTATTTTCCTCGAATGATTGCTTCTTCGGCATCTCTTTACTTTTTTAAACGTATTATGATTTAAATGATTTTTTTAATGGCAAACATGTCCAAAAATCTACCCTTTTCGTTCAATTGTTTGATCTAAGCACCTCTTTAGATCGTAGAACAACATCTTACATGATATGAACCGGTCTGTTTTTTAAAGATTGTAATTTTAATTAAAAATCAAATTTAAAGAAACTATTTTAATGTAAAATGTAAAACAGGGAAGGCTTCCAATTTGTGCATGGCGTGTGTATGTTGAATGGCCTCTATTATGTACGCTCCAGAATAATAGTTGTGAAAGGACTTAGTTACATGTATATGCAGTAAACTTTGCCACTTCAATACCAAACACAGGACTTAAACGGAATATCAAACACCGTCTTAGAGCAACTCTGTTTAAAAAATAATGTAGAAATTACATTTTTACAATCGTACGAAATAAACTTTATCATGCAATTGTGCGCTATATTTCTAAATGACAAAAGGTTCACTATACAACACCTTTCAATGTAAAGGTTGATGTGAAAAGGAAAATGATATAAATATGTTATCTTACCTTTAAGCATTTTGACTGCTACTATTAAATCTTTCTCTTTAGAAAGCTTATTGTCGTTCAGTTTTGCCTTATATACTTTTCCGAACGCACCTTCTCCCAACACATCCAGTAACGTCAAAGAAGAAAATTCAATTTCAGAACTGTTATCTTCTTGGAGATGCGTTATGTAGTCAGTACCATGACAGTATAAAGGATTCAGTTCCTACGTAAAACAAATGTACATTTAACCCTCAACTAACACTATATTCCATTGTGTATGTATTATTGTGGGGTTGGGTGCCCGCTAACATGATTAACTCTGCGACATTATGTATGTGCCTGTCCCAACTGTGGAGCAGGTAATTCAGTGGTTGTCGTTTGTTGCTGTATATCATATTTGTTTTTCGTATATTGTTTTGTAAATAAACCAGACCGATAGTTTTTTTTTTCATTTGAATTGTTTTACATTTGTCATTGCGGGATTTGTATAGCTTGCTATGCGGTATGGGTTTTGCTCATTGTTGAACGCTTTGTGGTGACCTAAATTGCTAATTTCTACGTCATTTAGTCTTTGGTAAAGAGTTGCCTTATTAACAATCATGCAACATTTTTTTAAATTTTTATATATCACATGAGTAATATTTCAATAGAATATCTTTTATCAAAGAACGTCAGTACGAAAAGATCGAATAACAGATTTCACTTTTAAAAAGAAATATCTTGGAAGGAAGGCTTACATGTAAACAACATATACTATATTGAATTATAGGCAGTGAGGTAGACTCTTATCGCTATTAAAACAAAGAATATACGATGCTGAATATTTCTTCTCATTGTTAACATTTACTGGGTTTTATTATTTTTAGTAAAACATGTTACAAATGAGTCACTCGCATGCATCTACAAAGCAAAGCAGTGACCAAAGATAACAATTATAATGACACATGTGATCCTTTAGATATCTTTATCTTAGAATTGTATTGTGAATTTGTAAAAACACAAAACGCAAGTGTTGAAAATTTAGTTCTGATTGAAATATTTTAGCAAAAGACTCTATAAAGATAACAGCCTCAAAAAGGGTATTCATATCCAGTTATCCGGTTTTTTTGTACTTACCTCCCCTCTTGCTTCGTTAGTGCTACATTCTTTGTTTCTATGTAGTTTAATTCGATGTAGAATACTTATTGACAAGGCAATCATAATGACCAATATACCAGCTGATCCTTAAAATACAGTACACTACATAATAGACATTTAAAGCTTGGAACCAAAACATTCAAAATATTATGTACTATATACCACAAATAAATATGCTCTATATGACTACAGTACATGTATATTTATCTTATCAACAAAATATGAGAAATATATAGTAGAGTAAACTGTACGGTGATTCTTGTGGATTTTTCACGTCAAAGCAAAACACACATGTTTCGAAGTTCTTTGAAGAATAAATCATCAGTATGCCTTTGTCAATACTACATGAAGTATCCACATTTTATTGTTACAATATAAAGCAACAATTTTATAATACAAACGATCAATTATACATGAGGAAATGCCTGAACCAAGTCAGGAATATGACAGTTGTTTTCCATTCGTTTGATGGGTTTGAGCTTTTGATGTTGCCATTTGATGAGGGACTTTCCGATTTGAATTTTCCTTGGAGTTCGGTATTTTTGTTATTTTACTTTTTATTCAATCTTGATTTTTTTAATTATTTCATCATGATCTTAAATAAAATAGAAATGGCATGTCAGGAAATTTTCATTTACCACAAAATTTATTTTCATTAAGTATTTACATCCACAAGAAGAAATGTATCAGTGATATAAAAAAAAAATGCCTACAAGGAACACAAGAAATTAAGAATATCTTGCTGTTTCGGATCAGCTGTGATATTTCTCCTTTCGTGATAGTAAGTAATTAGTCTCTGGTTCGTTACAAATTTAACCAATCCAACACCAGATATTCCAGTGAGGTACTTTAATATCGGATGTAAACAAACTGATTATTACAATATAACCAGGTGAGATATAACGGGGGTGTGAATAACGAAACATCTTAACAACAATAAATATTAACAATATAACATTTGAGACCATTTTAACTTATTCATGGAGGATAAAAGGACATAATAAGGAACCAATTTTGGCCGGCACAACAAGTCTAAGTAAACTTTGTTTATTTTTGGGGCTTTCCGATTGTTAGTGGTATCGTCCTGCATTTTTTAAATTTTTTTAAATTTTTTTAATTTGTAACGTTTAAAAGCCTCCTTTTTTGTTTTGTTTTGTTTTATATTTATATCATGTTTCATAGAAGTGAAGGAAGGAATATACAAGTGCACCCATATCATAAGAAATATTTACCCCCAAATATTAAATTCAAATTAGATTTATCATCTGCTGTTGGCGTAGATTCCAATGCTACAGACTGCTGACAACCTTCTACAAATATAATAATCACATGAGATACACAATGTAACAAACACTGCCTTTAAATTTGGCATAAAAATCAATACTTTTTTATTGCCCTTTTCATTTTTTTTATTTTCATGAACGTGTCTGTTGGCTTACCACTCAAGAAGATAGAACTTGTGGAATTAGTTTGGGAAAGACGGTTCATCAATTAGTTGAAGTTGGACTAAAAACTAGCTTTCAGTATCTTCGAGTACTCTTAGATAAGTGCGTTGTGTCTTTCATCTTTTTCTGTAGTTGTTTTTGTGTTAAGTAGCGATCTAATGAATCAAAATCTTTCAAAATATTTTTTACAGTTTGTTTGTATATGTGCTGTTAAGCCATGTTTTCATGTAAGTGGAAGGGTTGAGCGCTCACAAACATGTTTAGCCCCGTCATATTCCGTATATGTCTGTCCAATGCTAGGATTCTATAATTTGGTGGTTGTCGTTTGTTACTGTCAATCGTATTTTCTTTTTCGTTTATTGTTTTAGAATCAATCAGGCCCTTGGTTTTCTCGTTTGAATTGCTTCTGTCATCACATTCTGTCATCCGGGAGCCTTTAGCTGACGATACGGTATGGGTTTTTGCTCATTGAAGGATGCCATTCAGTGACCTGGATTTGTTTTACATTCTTGTCCTGTGGTATTATTCGGATAACAGTTAAATCTGCAATCATGCCACATCTCCTCATTTTCATATATGAAATATATTTTAGACTTGTTAATATGTAGCTATGGATCTATTTGAAATGTTACAGTTTATGTGATGTTCTTACAATCTTCTGCGCCTTGTATTTGTTTTTGGTTTGGTTTATTGCTCATTAAATTTTGATGCTTTTCGGTGTCCAATATTTGGTTACAGTAACACTACTGATGATAACTAGTTATTTAAGAAGTGACATATAATCAGCTGCGGTGTCTTGTTTTCAACTCTCTTTTTCTATTCATACCTAAAAATGATTGATGTTAAGGGCAGATATTTGAGGGTGTCTATTAAATTTATTCACAACTTTTATCTACTCCTCAAAATTTATAACTTAATAAAAAATATAAACACTTGTCAATTGGTTGAGACTGTATGTTGTCCTCTCGGCTACTTTGGGTTATTTTTGTCATTGAGTTGATGTCTCATTCACGTATACAAAGCATCTCCTTTTATTCATACTTAAATCATTTAGGTCGTTGTAACTATGTTCTTTAGATTGTAATTTTCAAAAATGTGTTGCAATATGATACCTTTGTAATATACCTGTCCATATTAACCAAAGAAAGCTAACTTATTTTATATAAAGGCTGCCATGACATACCATTGGTTACTAGTAGTGTTACTGGTTTACTTTGACCTTTGGTAGATAATGCCTGCACATTGATACTATAGTTGTAATCCCATTGGATATCATTAATTTCAACCCAGTTTCTATCCTATAAAAATGCCATATACAAAATTATTCTTTTTATCTTTTAGCTCTTCGTCTTAAAAAACTTTTCTTTAATTCCTTAGTTTGCAATATTAATGGACAAATTATATCATTAACTTTCCATTATTTAAAAATTTTAAGTATACGCTGGCTGTTTAATCCTGCTCTCACGTTTCATATTTTCAAATTAAATATAGCAAGTATTTGTAGATTCCTTTCATGTGTTTCTCGTTTCTGCAATTTTTCTCTTGGTCACAGTTCTATATATCCTTCTTCGATTAATTATTCTTAATAGCCTCAATGTAATCTTCAATTTATTTTTTTTAATAATTGAGCCTTAAAGGTAGCGTAAGGGTCTTTAGTTTTCTATGTATTATTGTGGACTGTTGTTTTACTTTTCGTCGTTTTTTTGTATTTTGTCATGGTGATTTTTCTTATTATCACTTATTATTTTATAAATTTCTTTGGTATCTACTGTCTGTTTTATTGTATTTAGGAATGTGCTTACAAACAGGCAATCTTAATATATATATATATAGTACATAAGATATGTCGATAAAGGAGCAAGCAAACCATTGAAACATCAGATGTGTGAAAGTATCCGTATTGATAGGTGTATCATGATATACATTGTAAATGAATGCTTTGTGATCCTATGTTTATAACAAAATCATCAGCTGTAATGGAATTCTTATTACTTTTATTAATCGATTGAAAAAATAAATGATTTTCATATAATGGACTAAATGTAAGCATCCAGTCATAGAACGAAAATAAGTACATTTCAAAATGGCAATCACAATGATCACAACTTAATTATGCAACAAATGGTTACATGTATAAAACATTTTGTGCTCGCATTTGTATATCGACAAGATGCAGATTTTTTTTTAACTGTTGACTCTGTATATTAAGAAAAGTAAGAAATTTGTCAAAATTCAGTCAATACTTATTTCCATTCATGCATTCAAATATTAAATATTTAAAGAATACGACATACTAACCCCACTGATTTGTATTGCTTCTTGGTGTGGTTCAATGTATTGGCTAAGGTATATTGGGATAACTTTATACAATCTAATTAGATAGGAGAACAGTTCGGGACTAGATTCCATATGATAAGGTGGTGTCCATGAAATATTGACAGAACATATTGATGTATTATCTGGTTTTAAGATGACATCACCGGTGACGTTTCTGGGTTTGCCTGGAGCTGAAAACAAAACAATGTGTTTGTATGTACATGACAACATGTTTGCTACAATAATAACTTGTAACAGTATTTTTGAAGGTATAACAGAGCATAAAAAAGATTAACAGATTAAAAGGTATACAACCTTAATTGTTCTATTTGCACTGTGGTTCAAATCATTCAGTCTTATGTGACCGTAAACTTATACATGCTTTTACCTTCATTTATGTTTTTTTTGTATGTTTTTAACACCCTGGTATCAGTAAATGTAGTGAAAACACAAAAATCAATTCTAGGTCATCACATCAGGCTAATTTGAGACGCAAGCACTGCTGTCCTTCTGGATCATCTTAGTTCAAGCCTAGTTTGCGGTGGACTTCATGATGCTAAGTTGTCATCGTGTGTTTTGAATTGTTGTTTGTTATTCCGTCCTCCTTTTTCATTTGGTTGTTGTGTTGTCTATACAAGACTTTTGTTTTGAGTCACACATGAGTTCGTTTTACTTTTCTTTTATTAGAGCTTGAAATATTATGTACACATGTCTATAATCGTTAAAGACCGCATATTAATTTCTAGATGACTTTTTTATGTGTCGTTGGCTTGCTGTTTCATTAGTGTATATGCGCCACATACATGTATTTTTTCATTTACAAGAAAAAGTAGCTTAATATGAAATAGTACATCGATAACAAAAGACAAGCCATTATTTTCTGTAAAGAACGCAAATCTTCTTTTATTAATAAAAAGGGTATTGAAATTTTTTAGAACTGCTTCAACTCCAAAAATAATCCTGTGTGCCAAATGGACAGTTAGATAAAATGCTGAGCCAAATAAGCAGGAAATGTAAAATCCGTTTTGCCTTTTTTTATTTTGTTTTAATAGGATTTGCAGCCCGGAATTCATTACACATGAATACCAAGACGACAAGCCAGATATAGTAAATATATACCAAAGGTCAATACAAGTAATTAGTCGAACAAGGACAGACAAGACAATTGTATACCAAGACGAAATGACAGACAGCACAATAGTAAACCAAGACAAAAAGACAGACAACACAATAGTAAACCAAGACGAAATGACAGACATCACAATAATAAGCCAAGAAAAAAAGACAGACAAGACAATAGTAAACCAAGACAAAAAGACAGACTACACAATAGCAAACCAAGACGAAAAAGCATACAACACAAAAGTAAAGCAAGACGAAAAGGCAGACAACATAATAGTAAAACTAGACAAAAAGACAGACAACACAATATTAAACCAAGACGAAAATGCAGACAACACAACAGTAAACTAAGACAAAAAGACATACAACAGTCCACTAAGCACTTCATAAAGATTAAGCAAAATATTCCCAACCCATTCTTGGTGGGAAATGCACGTTCTCAGTAAGGGTAAGTTATTTCTGATTCACTCATGGCACTATTAGCATGTTTTCGATCCCCATTCGTATAAAAAGAGGCGGAAAACACAAATAGTATATTCAAAACTCATAATTCAAGATAAATTAAGATTTGACAAAATTTATTGAGACAAAAACAAATATGAAAGACAACATTCTCTGCTTTGCCTGTTTAACCGTCATCTGATTCCAAAGTCATACTCAGTGGAGTATCGGAAATCTGTTTGAATAATACTTACCACACACATAATAATCATAGTTTGTAGCATCCAAGCATTCCGCCGTAATAAACCAAACTACTATCTCCGCACTTCCGGTGTTGAAGTCTGAATTCGAATAACTACTCATATGTAAGGTATAATTACTTCCAAAATGCAAATTATTAATCCAGTACTTTGAAATTGGTGGCGCCTAAAGTAAATGAAATAAACCTCATCAAAGATAATATGCTTGATATTTTGTTCGCCAGCCGGTAGTACCTTTCCCCTACAACAGACCCATCAGTTACGCTCAAACCAGAAAAGATAAAAGGTCAAATAAAGTAAGAAGTTGAATAGCAATGAGAACTCAAAATTCCTAAAGGTTTTTGCCAAATACAGCACATATGTTTAACATATGGGATTGTTCGGATGACGAGAATAAAACGTACATTATTTCGTTTGGTGTATCGTTATTTGGATATAAACAAATCTGAAAATTCTTGTTTTTAGATGTTTTGAGGCACTTATTGCTTTTTTTATATTTTAAAGTTACGATTCACGAACAAACTTCCCAAAAAAGACAATGACATAATTACTATCCGAGTACATAATTATATCTTAAAGTGTGTTCTTATTTTGTATAATATCAACAAATTGAACGTACCATAAGTTCATCTCTACTGTAATCGGAGTACAGTGGATTATTTGTCATCCAATGAAGTCTGTAGTAACATGGAGGGTCTGCAATATAAACATGCTACGTGTTATTAGTATCCATACTTTGTACGGTATGGATTTATTTTACCAGTTAGTAGACATTTGATTTTGGGAGTGGAAAATGAATAACTTGACCTGGTAAGATCAGAATATAAATAACTTGGCAAAATACAGGATGAAAATGAATATTCAGCAATACAAAATGCAGGAATCAAATTTTTACAAAAATGAAAATAAATAAATGTTTGCACGGCAATGCTGCTGAAAAAAACCATGCATGCGTAGTAACAGATAAAAATAAATGATATATTTTATTTCTGTAGAAAATCCTTCTGGCTTTCCTCCGAAATTTTAAATGATCTTCCCCTTAGTATTCTAATTAAAATACTACCAAATAATGTCTTTCAATATCAAATTAATTTCATTTCATTTTATCTTACTTAGTATTAGGATATAAAATTTTCAATGAGAACATTGTCATAGCTAGCCTAACATTGGATCATCATTGTGTTGTCACAAATAAACAAAAACTGTATCTTTCTTTAAAGTGTAGTTTCCATGTTACTCTTGTTGATTGAATCTCAATTATTCGTAAATTTAAGTTTTTAGTCATGTTTTATTTCATATGATATCTTAAACCCTTTTCATTTTACATGATTATAATTAAAACATTAAATCTTGTACCTGTCCCAGAATTCCATTTCAATAAAACACTAACCAAGCCATTATGGACTTTTTGTCCGTCAATCTTGGCCTCTGATGGTCTGTTTAAAGTGTCCGTTGCTATAAAGAAAATGTTTTGAAGTATCAGATGGTTGCGCATAACAGTCTTTTAATCGACCAAATAATTATGTAAAAGTTTGATTTGAAAGCTGTCGAATTGTTTATAATACTCCGACTTGTATTCCTAGTCTTAGGGAGTCTTTAGCGGAAATCAAACTCATGCTGTCATCTCTAATTACATGGCACATGAAAGAGACTCTACTACTGAAGTATGATCCTCATTAAGTGAATATGCTCGAGTTGTCTAGGGTTATTGATTAGAGCTGAATAAGTTGAGAGTCCCGATGAGTGCATATGATACAGGTAAAATGTATATGATACAGGTAAAATGTATATGATACAGGTAAAATGTATATGATACAGGCAAAATATACATGATACAGGTAAAATGTATATGATACAGGTAAAATGTATATGATACAGGTAAAATATACATGATACAGGTAAAATGTATATAATACAGGTAAAATGTATATGATACAGGTAAAATATACATGATACAGGTAAAATGTATATGATACAGGTAAAATGTATATGATACAGGTAAAATGTATATGATACAGGTAAAATATACATGATACAGGTAAAATGTATATGATACAGGTAAAATATACATGATACAGGTAAAATGTATATGATACAGGTAAAATGTATATGATACAGGTAAAATGTATATGATACAGGTAAAATGTACATCCTTTTAAAAGAGGTAGAAGATACCAACATGAGAATAAAACAAATCATTCGAAGAGACAAATTCATGGTGAAAACAAAAAACTACAAAAAGACAAACATCAGTCTAAATAACTCTATATAAAAAATATGTCTCAGTTTTCTAATTAGAGAGATATATATTGTGTTGTAAGTTTGTAAGGTTTGTCACACAAAGAAGTTACTTTGCAAATATTAGAATACACATTGTAGACGTTAATAATATAGAAATTCAGCATAACAATAAAACCATACAACAGTTTTAACAAACGGTCGGTCTTCAACAACAGGGACGTGTTAGTCACAGGTAAAAGGTCAATCACTAATCACTAAAGCCATCCCCTTTTCTCCACCTATTAAGTGTACATATAAAGAGATAGTATATCAATGTTCAGTGATACATATATTTAGTGAAGACATAAAACAGGATAAATAAAGGCTTTTTTCTGTCGACATTTTAAGTATGTATGACTTTCGTACACTTTGCTATTTATTGCATATACTGTTCTAACTATGAAATGTAACGATCACTTTTAATTTGTGTATTTTGTCAAATTTTCTACATTGTTGATTTTTTTTTCGGAAAAAACAGACGTCATTTGATTACAAACACATTCCGTATGACTTCATGTTTCGATTTAAACGATACGCAAAAAGTAAAATAACAAAAATACCGAACTCCGAGGAAAATTTAAAACGGAAAGTCCCTTATCAAATGGCAAAATTAAAAGCGCAAACACATTAAACGAATAGACAACAACTGCCATAATCCTGACTTGGTACAGGCATTTCCTTATGTAGAAAATTATGGAATCAACCTGGTTTTATAGCTAACTAAACCTCCCACTTGTATGACAATCGCAAACAAGCAACTCCTACAATTTCCGAAAATTAAAGAAATTCCAGATTCAAAGAAACAGTAATTAAAATGTTATATATCCGGACGAACGAAACTTATCACATTGGGTAAATGTGTATATAATTTACTGGGTTGATATCGCTGCTGGTGGACTGTTAGTCCCGAGGGTATCATCAGCTCAGTAGTCACTGCTTCACTACTGCCGGGATTTATGATATACATGTATGATAAGATTTAGATTCCCCCGTTCCACGGTTAGTTTTGATCGTTCCTGATGAAAGCGCTTCGGACGCACGATATATATCAAGTGTTTAAACATTTAAAATAATGGGATGAGAGAAATGATTTTGATATAGCATTAAAACTGATTTTGAAATTTTATCAAAATGAGCAATGATGTAGAATAATTGATAAAGTACACACATAATACTTGTAAAGATTTGAAATGTAGATCTACAAAAATTATGTAAATAATTCAATTCGTGCATCTAAATGCAAAATAAATAAAACAGGAAGCGACAAAATACAGTTTCTATCTATTATTAATATTATAAAATTGTAATAATAGAACGAGAAAACACTACATGATCAAATCACAGATCTAGGCTAACACACTTCCCTACTGTTTGAACTATCTCACATCCATGATTAAACTTAAAAAAAAAAAAATCAAACAACGAGTACATTGAAATAAGTAATAATTACATGGAAAACTGGCATGAGATGTAATTTAGTAAGTTAAAATTAGTATAGCTTGTTCGAAATAATACGTAATCAAAAAGGCATTTCCGTTGAAAAATTTATTTAGCATGTTTAGGGAATTATAAATTGTAATACCGCAGTAAATTCATAGTGTGTAGGCTGTAATAAACCATTATTTGACACGTAAATGTGCAACAGATATAATTATCTTTACTTTCAAAATTATGTAAATTTATCATAAAGTACAAAAAAAATCTGAAGAGCACGATTTCAAGTGACACTATTAATCTCTCAGTGGCATTTTAAACACAAATGGCTACTTAATAAATAAACGGACTACAATCCGACTGAAAAGTTACATAATAGTAACGGTCATCGGCCGTGTCAACCAAAACTTAAAAAGAATTAAGTGTGGTTAATATTTAGAGGAATGTAAAAAATTGTTGGCTTTGAATCAGAATAATGTATAAGGATGTTTATACGACTTCCTTTTGGACTTGCGCGCTTAAACCCACTTTATATGTCTGTCTTTTTTAAACCAAGGTATTTGGCTACTGTGGTTTCATTTGTTTTCGTGGATACCAATTTTCGTGGATTGAGGGAAAATTGTCTTTTCGTGGAGTTTTCAAAAGCCTCCCTACAGACCTATACAAAATGTGTACTTCGTTGGAAATTTAAATTCATTGCTTACCTTTACTATATATTTTTTTTAATTTCTTGGTCAAAACAAAAATAAGAAGGAGTGGTATGATTGCCAATTATACAACTCTCCATAAAAGACCAAATAACGTAGAAGTAAAAAATAGAGGTTGTATATATAACTCAATTGGCCGAATAGCCTAGGCCGCTAGACTTGTATAAGAGGCGGAGTTGCCGTTATCTCACAGCAGCACGTGTTCAAATCCCGTTGAGGGAAAGACAAACATTTTCAACATCAAATGTGCAGTTCTAACAATGCTGGACTAAATTTCAGACGATGTATGATATATGACAAACAACATGGAAAAAATATAAAAAAATATAGATACAAGGTTATCACTCGTTTGATCGAGATTTAGCAGTGGGAAAGTTGAGATGAAAAAAAAAAAATTTAAATTTGTGTTAAATTAATGACAGATCTGTTTATGTTATGCATTGCCTTTATCGACAGTATTTGGTTGGGTTCGCTGTGCTCAATCTTTTTTAGTAATGTTTTGACTTTTGGTCAGAAGGTTGTATTTTTTTCCTCCAACTGCCTCCTTTAGTTGGACAAAAAAAAAAAAAAAAAAATAACGATGAAAATGAAAATTAAATATCCGAATGTAGATTTATACATATTCACAAACAATAAATATTTCTAATAAAATGATAAAAGAACGAGAGGACATGTTATGCTTCCAATATAAAGGCCAAATCATGAATAATTGGGATGTATACCTTTCATTGTCGTGATCCAGCCAGAATCTTTTGGTGGTTCAATGACGCCTTCTTTACTAACGACCGTCACTTTAAACATGTAATCAGTTTCGAATGTCAGGCCATGGATAGGAACAACTGCCCGGTTTATCTGGAACATAAGAAATATTGACATTCATATAGTGTTTGCAGTATTTATGTACATTGTAATGAAGTTCCATTTTCCTACTTGACAAACTTTGCATGCAAATAAAGAAAGGCACATCCCATTACATATGCATTCAAAATAGAAATTCGAGAGACCAAGGCTAAACCAAGCCTATACAAATCAACAGCCGACCTGTAGATATACAAGGGAAAAAACACAATTTTTAGTTTGTTCATTATGGTTGCTAAGGACATTTTTTGGTTGCTATGTAATACTTTCCTAGCAAAAATGGGAACAATTGACAATATTCTAATACATGTATGACTAGCTTGAATAAATTATAATTACTCCATATATATGCATTTAGACTTAAGAATTGAATGAATTTATGAAAATTTGATTTTGAGTTTTGTTGCTATAGGATTAACTTTGTTGCTATGGTTACACATTATTTGGAAAGAAACTCACCGACCTTTTATGAAATAATGAAAGTATGACAATGACTTGATCATATTAAGTAATACCAGGTATGTGCTGTTCTGGTAAAAGACAATATTTGAACTTGATTTCTGCATTTTTGTCTCATTTTGGGATATTATGGTCCCTGGAGATCATCCGTATCCCAAAAATTCTAGAATGAAATGGTATTTCATCAAAACAGCTATTCTTCAAGAATATTTGATAGTTGAAAAAGTTGCAGTTTAATGGAGAAATACTAGATTTTATATAGACAACAGATTTCATGAGATTGAAATAGTGAAAAACTGTTGGTTTTATATTAACCTCCGTTACTCGCTGCTTTGGAAAAATCAAATGGCCCTGTTTCCATGATGATTTATGTAAGTTTTCATCAAAATCTGAGACAATCATGTTTTGGTCACTGACTAATCCTTAGGCAGACTGGCACTTAATAAAGGAAGCTTAAACTGACAGTTAAGGGTAACAGTTTTGTGTTCTTTAACATAATATTTACGTCTGTTGTAATGATTTAACTAGTTTCATTGAAAGATAACGTTACGATGATTTTGTTTTCAGATATTAAAGGATTGCTTTATGTTGAAAATTACTTAAATCTGACACTTAAATCCCATAAGTCTGGTTAAAAACCAGATTTTTTTTCAAAATTGAAAGAGAGATTCCCTTTACAAATCTCAACAACAGTGTAAAGTTTTTTAGGGAAATTAATCTAAGCATGCTGGAATTAGTGCGTGATATGTGAAAATTGTTCAAACTTTAAGGAATGAATCCCATTACTCTCGAATGACAAAAGTGAAAATCAGGAATATTTAAAGACAGCTTACTTTGATCAATGATAGCCATGTGAGAAGATTTCAGGAAAAAGTATAACGTCAAATTTAAATTATTATAACTGGTTAATGCTAATTTAAGTTATCGTACGAAGTGTGGACATACAGACGGTCGGACGTTCGGATAGAATACGGTGTGTCATTGTGTGTCTCGTCTAAGACAGGCGTATAAAATAAACAGACAAGATATGTCATCCACACGCAATTCTTCAAAATTAACCAAATTTACGATATGACATAAATTAACTACTGACGAGATTTCTTAAATTGAGAACAGATATGTGACAGTGTGAGAGGATCAATTACTAGTAGATTCTGATATCTCAAACTTCCACTGATATATGACCTTGTTTTCGGATGATAGCATGATTTCCCTTACACTGGTTAAATACATATCCAGTGTCCATGCTTTGCTTACAAGGATCTTAAAACACTCCGTTCTACGTTCGGTTTTGAAGACCTTTCGGGATCCTCCGGTTTTGTCGTTATGATATATTAAAAAGGAATTGTTTTGGCTTATGTAATAATTACCAGAACATAAAGTAAAACGAAATGTTGTAAGATCCATGTATGCAAAGCACATGATTGATGTTTCAATCAGATTGGATTTCCTTTTACCTGTCTGCAGTGAAACTTACACAGATGGAAGAACGAGAAGACAATTTAGTTCTAGGTTTTTCGGTCAAAATGTATAATTCATTATACACCAAGTCAGGAATATGACAGTTGTTTACCATCGTTTGATGTGTTTAAACTTTTAATTTTGCCATTTGGTAAGAGACTTTCCGATTTGAATTTTCCTTGGAATTCGGTATTTTTGTTATTTTACTTTTTATATCAATTTACATTGTATATATTTTTTGAACAAATTTTAGCTTATCTTTGATTTCGTTGAAACTTATTTCTATAATTATGTTATTGCACTGATACAAAATTAATTTACTTTGAAAATAAAACGCATCTCTTCTTATTCTTTATTTGATTTTGCCATTTGATGTGGGACTTTCTGATTTGAATTGTCCTTGGAGTTCGGTATTTTTGTTATTTTACTTTTTATGTCAATTTACATTGAATATATTTTTTGAACAAATTTTAACTTATCTTTGATTTCGTTGAAAACTTATTTCTATAATTATGTTATTGCACTGATACAAAATTAATTAACTTTGAAAATAAAACGCATCTCTTGTTATTCTGTATTCAAAATATGAATCAAATTCAAATCAAATCAAATCAAATTATTTCAAATAAAACATAAATTAAAGATAAATTGAATTGGAATTGTTATCAAATAAAATAATAGCAGAATGAATGAAATAAATGTGATTAAAATACAAACCAGATAAGCAAATATTTTCTAAATTTTCAGAATTGTCCTAGCGGGATAACTCTGTTGGAGAACAAAAATAATGATTTCAACAAGTTTTCGAGCGTCTTCATCTTTTGTTAGATTTACGTATCACAATACCGTTCTCAAAACTTTTTAATTCTGCATTGTTTTAGAAGTTTGATTTAATCAATTCTTTTCAGATTCCTCTAAGGAGAAATGAACGGGACTAAACTGTGCGGTCGTTTAAACAAATATCAAAACTTTAGGTTTTACTAACTTTTAATCTTCTATTTCAAATATTAAAACGTTGATCAAATCAATAAAGCAGAGATTTTCTTCCAAAACAAAAGGAATCACCGATACAAGCTCTAGTTTTAACTTCATGTCAACTTTACATGTCTGATCAGTAGCATTCATGACGTGATTGAACGATATTATGTGTCTGTGTCTACTCTCGCTAGATACATGTGTTTCGCGGTATTAGATCTGTAGATACAAGCATAGTAGATTAGCTAACCTATAATTTTTCCGGTGTGTCTTATTCCCGATTGTGACATTTTGACTGAGTGTGAATTTTCAATGTACTGGCGATGCATGGATAGAAGAAGCCACTTTTCCCGTCGACGTACCCAGTCTCGCTCCTTTAATAATTCATGCGATTTCCTCAATTTTTGTTCGCGTCTAAATTATCATGAGTTATAAGATTTGGTATCAGTTAAGAACTGTTGCTATATAATGTTTTGTCTATGACTTGTGATTTGTGTATTTTGCGCTTGTTCACATCTGTTTGGAGAAAAAACTAATATCTATCAAAAACCAATAACCGAAACGACTTTACCAAGTTTAGACGAAATTTCCATGGTTGAAGTGGTAGTGTGGACTGAGTGTCTCGCATCGAACGGTCGACAAACCCGGATTTTGGAATTCATGCGATTCATTGAGTTTATTACCTTGATTTGTATCTCCTTGATCGATTTGTGAGATTTAAACATGGGCAATTACATGTAACTAATGTAGCCTGAATTTATTACCTTTAAGGCTTTATGTATTGACGATTTACACGAAAACCAACATATACTCAAGCGACACTAACAATCATACGTTTGTTTTATGCTATTTTGGTATTTAAAACTCAACTGGATACTCAAGTTGTATTTACACAAACCTGGCGAGATATTGTAATGGTGTGATATAACTATAAACAGTGATACGGGAACATTTTTAGTCCAAAAAATATTTCAAATTTGCTTAACCAATGAATTGTTCTATGATTGGTTCTGATGTTTTCTTGATTTCGTAGCATTTGAAGTTTAATTGTTTATTACCAAAATTTGATATCGATAAACACTAAGGAGAAATGAGATTTTCAGATGTTCATATGGTGCATAACATTTTACCTATTAATATTTTGTTTTCGTCCATGTTAGTTGATTAACATACATATACTTTTCATGATAATATTACAAGTATTTCTCGTGAACCAGTGAACCAGCACCACAAAAAAGTATCTATCTCAAAGACCTCGGTGACTGAGTAGTCTAAGTAGTTCAACTAATGTACTTCTAGCCTGTCAACACTGAGGTTGTGAGTTCGAATCCCGCACGTGGCAAGTGTGTTTGACTCCAATCTTGATTGTCAAGGGTTGCCATTTTTCCTACCGAAAAAGTAGAGCTGGTTCTCCTAGGGCACTACGGCTACATCCAACAATAAACACTGGCCGCCAAGAAATATCCAATAGTGCTGACAGTGACGATAAAAACCAAAAATCTAATCAATTCAAATCAAAGAGAAACCAAAATACGCACAATTAATTACTAGTACAAATAACAAAATTTTTTAGAAGATCACAGAATGTATCCTAAATCGTCTTGATTTCTACTCTGTTTACTACGCTATAAACAATTCTTATCAAACAAATATTTTCCTATTTAATAAAATTGTCTTTTCATCAATTTTGGTATTGTTATATCAATTGAGGTCATTACAGTTCGCTTTTAAGCAATATCAGTTATAAAGGTACTCATACAGTATTTGACCGATATGATTAAATCCTTTAGTTATTAGCTTGATATTATCGATGTTCGTTTTGAGATAAAATGTAACACAAGGTAACTGGTATTTCGATCGGAACTTAAACTATACTCCTCTTAGTGCAGTATCATTATTTCTCGAAAATCATAGATTATAACAAAAAAGCGCACAGACACATCGAAACACCACTTGGTTGATATTATGAACTTTTCTTGCAGATATTTAACCGATATTGATTCCGAAACAATTTAGGTGTTTTTCAATATAACAAAGAATGATCTTAAAAAGATATGATAAGGGACAATTTTCATAAAGTAATCCTCTTCTTGATGGTTAAGTTCATCTCTGCTTATACTGCTGTCTAGGGTATTAATTAACGTAATAGTTTTATTACTTAAACATTTACAGATAAAGCTGTAATAAATGAATCGTACATTTTTTAAAGTTTTTACCAATTTTTTTCACAATGATTAAGAATTATTATGGATGTATGATTCCTCCTGCAGTAAATTGAAAAAGTGGTATATCTTATCAGACTTTTTAAATTCGTATTTTTTAGTATGGTATCAAGTTAAGAAATGGTACTCCAAACTTTAGAAATGAATTAATAGACAAATAATTGATGAAGGTGATAATTATACCTTTAATACTGTTATTTTGTACAATGAAAATATTCAATCCACTAATATATAGATTTAATGAAAAATAAAATGTTTCTTTTGATTTTTATTTTCTGCAGTTCTGTATAGCTTGCTTTTGGGTAATTAAGATCGTTTCATCAGGTAATGTTGATACAGTTACTGTGTGAAAATATGATTTTGTTTCCTTTTCTAGTGACATATACCTCAAATGTTAATTTACTTATGTTGAAATTATAAAACATAGTATTGTACCTTTAGGTTCTAGTGCCATTCTTAAAGTTACCATATAATTATAATAATTATAGTAAAATTTTGTGAAAAATTTGACGTTATATATTGATGATGATGAAATTACTTCCTGGGAAAACAAATAATCAGAGGAAAGCTGTTTAGTCAAAGTTATGGAAATTTGAAAAATTAGAGTGTAGAAATTACATTTGAAAAACAATCCTCGATTAAATAATTTATCAAGAAAATTAGTTGTGAAAATTAGTTGGAAGACATATCCTATACCCTTTATTCCGTAAGGAACAAATACTGTTATATTTGTTCCAGTGGAAATATTATTACAGAATATTTCTTCCACTTGGAACTTATACTATGAAGGAACTTCTATTTCATGACATTAACCGGGTAGGCGTATTCTGCAATACGCATATACTTAATAGAACTATAGCGGCTTTAAAAGTCTTAGTTAGCTACCAATTAGACAAACAAATAAGATATGACTATTTTTGTTTCAAAAAATTATATTGCTTACTATTGAAATAATATTTCGCTATAAGAAGTAAGTTTGGTTCAATGTCAAAATTAGCTAAAACAAAATCCAATCACTGATGTATTTTTGGCTTGCATATCAATCTATCAACTCACTCATATCCCTATTTACGCAAACTTTTATTTGAAATTTAATGGAGGTGGCTTTTGCATGTTTTCAGCTTGTGGTTCATTCATCACATTGAAGAAAATGTCAACATTAACAAAGGGGAACGAAAGATACAGTCATAAAGGGACAGTCAAAATTCATAGATCGAAAACAAACTGACAACGCCATGGCCAAAAATAAAAAAACAGACAAATAATAGTACAGATGACACAACATAGAAAACTAAAGACTAAGCAACACGAACCCCACCAAAAACTGGGGGTGATCTCAGGTGCTCCGGAAGGGTAAGCAGATCCTTCTCCACATGTGGCACCCGTCGTGTTGCTTATGTTATAACAAATCCGGTAAATAGTCTAATCGGTAGGTCACATTCGTGAAAAGGGAAGTGTATTGTAGTTACTACATAAGGAACATATCCGATATCATCTGTGAAACGGTTATTCCGTAACGGTCAACCAACTCGTGATGGCGTCCGTCAAATTTACGAAGGGGTGATTTCAACTTCACCATTTGGAACTCTTGGTTTAATAGCTTCCTTGTGAGCAGCAATCCTCTATCAAGGAAATCATGATAGGAAATACAAGCCCGGGAATATCGTATCAATTGGGAGATATATACTCCGTATGCAGGCGCTGCTGGAATGTTGCTACATAGAAATGGAAAGTTCACAATTGGGAAGCTGAAATCATCTCTTTTGTCGTAAAGTTTTGTTTTCAACCGACCCTCATTGTCAATTTCTAGATGTAAGTCAATATATGAGGCAGACTTAACTGTATCTGTAGTATCCTTTATCTCTAGTTCGATGGGATAGATTCGTTTAACATAGTCACCAAATTTTGTATTATTTAGTGAGAGAACATCATCTATATAGCGGAACGTAAAGTTAAAGGATATTGCTAACTTCTTATCTTTCTTCCTAAGAAGTTCCTGTAAGAAGTCAGCCTCATAATAATAAAGAAACAAGTCGGCAAGAAGAGGGGCACAATTGGTTCCCATTGGAATCCCGGCAGTCTGTTGAAAAACACGTCCTCCAAACGTAACAAATATGTTGTCAATCAAGAAATCAAGCATCTTGATAATGTCAGTTTCAGAGAATTTTTTGTTTGAATCAGAGTGATTCTTTACAAAGTAGGATTTATTCCTCCCTAAGACAAGATACTTGTATCTACGTTCGCCATTCTTTTTAACGAAAACAAAGTAATACCAACTCTTTCAATTTGTCTTTTAGTTTGGAAAGTGACACCAGGTAGCCACAATGAATAACCATTTCGTTGACTGATCCGGCCAACAAAACATTCTTATACAGGTAAAATAATGATACACATAAATTTTTAATCCATAACATCAAATCAAAATGACCTAGAATAATTGTCATTATACTATTGCAAGTGCTTGATTGTTTTTTATATTTATGTTTATATTGGGTTAAATGACCTTCGGCGGTCTTCTGCGGTTATCTCGATAGATGATTAGATGGCCAGTAGTCTACAAACTACGCACGTTATGCTGATATATAAAAACGAGTCCATGCATTGTTAATTGTTCACTTAGGATTTTTGGTCATTTGGGTACACGTTTCAGTATATTATACATCAAGTATTAGAATTTGGGCCAAATTGGTGAACATGCCTTTAAAGGCATTCAATAAACAATTAGTCCCAGGAAATAAAAACAATTGAAAGCTATGAATACAAAACAATTTTATCAACAGATCTGCATTAGGTACAGTTGGGATCAGTTCTAACCCCTTTTAAGAACTGTCAGAATAATACCACTGTTGTATCTTAATAACAGATCTACCATAGACTGAGTGACATAAATAAGAGAAGATATCTAAATATGATAAAGAACAGTAAGCTAGATTCCCTCTGTAAATAACATATCACATACATTTTGAATTAGAGAGAAATAGTAACTGGACTCTTGATCTAGTTTTAGTTCTATTTTATCTCCATGTTCATAATCAATTTTTGAACAAAAATAAATATTTTATTTTAAATAATAATTCTTAAGCAGTGAGGAATATACTTCTAATATTTCCGTGTTAAATTAATGTGAACAATAATATAAATACAAAAAACTATAAATATAGTTACAGCTGTCCAAAAATGTTAGATATACTCATCATAGATACCAGGACTATGATTTTGTACTCAGACGCGCGTTTCGTCTACAAAAGACTCTTCAGTGACGCAGAGGTAGAACTGTTAGGATCGGTTCTAAGGAAGAACTATCAAAGTCTGTTCTAGGGCAGAACTGTTCAAACTGTTTTTCAAGATAAGAACTGACTAAAACTGTTATCGGCTAGAACTGTCTAAAACTCTACTCGGTTAGAACGGTAAAAAACTGTTCTAGGTAAAAACTGTCCAAACTTTTCTAGGTTTAAACTATTTTAAGGTAGAACCGCTCCTATTAAAAACTGTTCTACAGGTATAAGCGCTACTGTTCTACAGAATGTATCTAGAGCAGGTATCCGGAAGTTCCTGACAGATTTTAAGAGATGTAATTACTGATCCTAGCTGTACTTGGACATTTCTTTCCCATAAAACATATAAATAGAACTTTCATCAAAAACATACCAAATCTTTTTGACTTTTAGCAAAACGTTCATATATCACTGAGAACAAATATTATACATTGTGAGGTTTTCGTACTCAAAGTACACATATCAACAACTAATATAATGAAAGTTAGATCAATTATTACCATCCGTTCACCACAAATCTTAAAATGACAAAATTACAAAAAATATTACCTGGCCGAGAGTTTTCCACGTCTTAGAAGACTTTCCACGGATTAAAGAAACAATAAACACTATGTTCCTGGCATATTTTGGAGCAACGTTCCAATTTAGAAACACTGTCACTGTGCCTTTGGTTGCAATATGCTGACAGGTCACTCTTACAGATTCTATATGTACACCTATAATGAGTGAATAAAAACTATTGAATATAGTTATATGCATTACAACAACAGCAATATCAATTAAATATTTAAAGGAGATTAGTTTTACATTATAATTTTTAAGGAATAACTAGTATAAAGGATAAAGGTAGGTAAAACTCGTTATATCTGACTAGCTAGCTGCCATGTTTATACCTATTTATCAGTCTCGAAAATTCCAGCTGAAAATTGTTCTGAAATCACATCACATACCCATACCATATCTTGACATTGTTTACTTCAGCTTTTTATGGTTTATAAAGTGGTGAATTTAATATGAATTTTGAAAAAAAAAGTTGTGTTATCTTAATTCTAAAAGGGGGAGATACCAAAGGCAAAAAAGATAAACTACCTACCAAAGCCCAGGGTCAACGCATCCACGTCAAATGATAAATATGTTCAACTTAGAATTTAATCATAATTCATTATGGTGTTGATATTCAATTGTTAAAATAATGCTAGCTATAACAATTTGCTTTTGTATGCTGTAATATGTTGATAAGCTTTTCAACTTCGTACTTTATTTGGCTTTTTAAACTTTTTTATTTGAACGTCACAGATTAGTTTTTAGAATATTTGACAAACTTAAGACTATTTGCACGACACTTTATACTACTTACCACTAGTTACACTAGTAATCCCTGAAGAATTCCAGTTTGTCATCAAAACTTCACAACTACTCATACAGATGATCCCATGCCGCAACTTGAAATAAAATATGATTCAGTCAATTAAATCAGTATCTTAAAATATCTTTTGAACATGCGCTCGTGTGGAATGGTCTTAACTATCATTTTTGTCATGTATTTTTAGTTTTTTGTGTCATTGTAAATTTTAGAAATGCTCTATACTAATTTTTAACATGAGTAGGCATTATATTAACCAATATCATTATACTGAGAGTAAGCGAGGTGTATAGACTGTTGACAAATATAATGCCTACCCATGTTAAATTGAGCATAGAGTATTGCATGATATGATTGATTCGATTCTAATAGTAAAACTTAGAACTTGTGTACTTCAAAGCGGACATATAAACCGTTCGAAAGCAGTTTCATACACAGCAACACCATAAAAATGTCAATGATTATATTCTTTGTTGTTTAAAATACGATTGGCGTTCAAATTCTATTTGTGACGTAACACATGTGCACCTCATGTTCTATTGTAATTTGAACATTTCTTTGTTTACAGGGCGATAGAGGAGCATCATTCAGAATGACAAACACCAAATGCCCATGAAATCCTGACTAGCAATTAACTGTTTACTATAATTGGTCAATTGTTTTTGAGAGGAAATAAATAGAAAGGGACCATTCACAAACCTTGAGTCGAAGAATGAAAATCAACACCATGGTCAAAATAAATATAAAAAAATGAATTACAAACTTTGTGTAAATGTGTTAACGAAAGATGAGAAAAACACTGAATCCTTGCAATCTAATACGCCAAGGTATGGATAGAGATATACAAACGAAATTAAAGATAATAGAACAACGATTCCGTACAATTTGAAACGTCTAGGTATGCAAAAAAGAGACAAGAACGAAAGACAATAATACACCGTTTCCTTAAAACACAATGCGTCAAGGTATGCATTCCTAGACCAGATAAGAACGATAGATAATAGAACACAGATTCCTAACAATATAATGTTCAAATGTATGTATTCTCAAAGAGACAAAAATGAAAGATAATAGAATATAGGTTCTTTACAATGCAATGCGCTAATGTATGGCTAGAGAGATACGAACGAAAGATCAAGTTATGATAAGAGAAACATGAACGAAAGATGATAGAACGGCTATTCCTTACAATCTAACACACCAAGGTATAATGGCTAGAAAGACATGAACGACAGATAATACACCAACGATTCCGTACAATATAAAACAGAGAGACAACAGTGTAAAATCATTGACAAGATCTTTGACAGGGCACTATTACGTCTACTGATTTGCATCCATTCCGAGTCCTGCGAGTCCAAAGTTATATTTAATGGTACGTGTCAAGTCTACTGTTACTGTAAAAAAGAGGTGAAAGATACCAAAGGGACATTCAAACTCAGAAGTCGAAATAAACTGACAACGCGATTGCTAAAAAAACAAAAAAAGACAAAAAGACAAACAGCACACAATACACAACAAAGAAAAGGAAATACTAAGTATCACGAACCTAACCAAAAACCGGGGGTAATCATAAGTGCTTCAGAAGGGTAAGCAGATTCTGCTCCTCATGTGACACCAGTAGTGCTGCTTATGTAATTTATACCCAGTGATAAGTCTAATTTGATTCAGTATGTCACATTAGTAGGAAACAAGGATGGGATTGTGGTTACGACTATTGGAACATATCCATTGTCATCTGTGGAACAGATATTTCATGCGTTCAACCAACTCGTGATCGCGTCAGCATCATAAATAACAAGAACAGACTAGAATATTATTTAAAAACTGGAATTTTGGTGACATGCGACAAAATGAAACTTTGTTTAATATATTTTGTTTTTCTTTTAAATTTCTGACTTTTATCATGCTTAAATAATCTTCAATTATTACTCACACATATTTCTTTACAGGTTTTTCCTTGTTCAATGTTTGTTACATTTCCACATGGAACCATGCACTGTAAGAATAAAGAACATCAAGATAATTTGTGTTGCTTGATTCTGTTCTATATACACTAAAAGTAACCCAATTGTGTATGCTTTCCCCATTGATATACACTTAATGCGACTAAAAGTAGATGTGCAATATAATGTTCATGAAACAGCAACCCAACACCATTGTAGAATAGAACAGGTATATAGAGATCAAATTACCATGTGTCTAGAAATGTATCTATGCATTCCGTTCAGATGATCTCGAACAAGTGAGAATAACACTAATGTAATTAATGCAAAATACATTCTATATGAATCAGAGGTTGTCCTATCGGATTGAATGTAGTTTATGTATCGTTTAAAAAACACTTCAAGGGTACCAGGCTTACAATTTTTAAGCCAGACTCGCGTTTCGTCTACACAAGACTGATCAGTGCGGCTCGAATTAAAACAGTTTGAAGGCCAAATCAAATACGAAGTTGCAGAACTTTAAAAACAAACATTCCGAACAGTTGAGAAAAATACTGCTAAGGCAATTTATATCTGGAGTAGAAAGACCTTAGTGCTACGAATAATTTAACATTTTATATACAGTAAATGAAAAGAAAATGAACATATCAATGATATTTCATGTCAACACAAAAGACTCCATATCGAGGAAACATTAAACGATAGAATTGGTTAAAATTTATTGCTTTTAATAAATACTTCAAATAAGGGGTCACGGGCCTTATTTTCTTGAAAAATCAGGAAAACAAAAAACACAAATTGTTCTATCAAATTCAGTATTTCTATTATTTAAGTTATGAAGTTTTGTATTTGTTTTTATAAACTAAATCAATAAAAACTTTTAGAATGAAACCAAAGTTAAGCTCTATATATGTTCAAGTTGGCCTATCAGTGATTAAAAGAGCATGAGCTATGATTTAGACAAAAATTAAAATGTGATTTATGTTTCTCTTTTATACATTTATAAAAGCGGAATGTTGAAATCAATTTCGTTCAATCTCGTCACAATAGGCAACATAATATCGCTGATGTATTACTGGCTTGAAAGTCAATAATTCAACCTCATTTGAATTCGTATAAAGTCATGCAATTGCAACCTTTGATGATACCATTAACTAGAGATGTGACACGCATGTGCAATGCTTGTTTAGTCACAAATAAATCATTGTCTGTCTATAGTCTCTATATTTATGTTTTGATCGTGTCATTGACCGACAACAGTCTGACAATGCTGATACATTATAACGAGTCCATGCATTGTAAATTGTGTATTTTGGAAAATTTGTATTTCTTATTAGCATGATTAGTATGTTAAAAATCAAACATGAGAATTTGAGTCAAATCCCCATTGATTTGACAGCAAATGTCCCTTTAACTATTATGTAACAGTTATTAACCATTTCATGCCTTCTTTAGTGTAAATCACCTTAGCCTTTGACCACAAACATAAATTGTTTTATCATCATTTATCTTTTTTTTTTAAAGTGGAGAAGATACCAATGGAATGATAACTAATATGTTATAAGTAGTTCGTTCCGAATATGTTTTGTGGATTGTTTTCTGCCATTCAAGGATAAGACTTTCACTAAGCATAGCTATTGAAATAGCTACACATATTCAGTACCACAGACACAATAATCTGACACAAAAACAAATTTCAATAGTCAAATTTATATAAATATCTCGTTAAGACGGACAGAAAAACGGTATCATGTTTGATTTTGACGTTTTTGCTCACACAATACATGCCTAGTTGAGTTCAAATCGATTATATATTTAAAAAACTATTGTCAGCCTATTTTCTATCCCATGCATTTGATAAGAAATCTCTCCTTTGAATCTTCTTCCCCTTTCGTTAACATTATTTGATTTGACAAGATCAAACTGTTACCAGGACAACGATTGTTTTGTAATTAACATGTTTCTATGATAATTCATAATTTGAAATCAATTGCTTGCTTCCATCAAATTGTAGTTAAACGTACTGCTTTTAATGCACATTTAACATGTTTAAGAGCTCACCTTTAATATAAACCTTCAATGCTCGAGGAAGTATTTATACATTAAAGGAGCATTTTAAATAACCAATAAAGCCTAGACAGGAAAAGAACAATCGTGTAATATCTGAGGCTTTACATAGATGCAGTAATTTCTTTGATTGTCATGAACTGTCTACCATGGTACCTTGAATTCGTACCAATTTATGATATTGATGATGATGACGGATGACTGTTAAACATCCAGTGGCAAATTAAATGCATATTAGGGACGAGAACATGTTAGTGTAATATGAATATTAACCCTGCTTTGTATTAGGCCGACACCCTTAGCCGAATATTTACAAAGATATAACTCCACAGGAAGAACTATCGTCCTATCCGGACACCGAGACGACAGGTCTTTGCTATTACTCCGTAATACCGCATACGAATCTAACGTTAATATACGGATAACAAAATGAAACTCAGAAATTGAAAAATACTTAATACCAAACAATACGATAAGGTCCACGTTTAATGGTCGCACATTTTCCTTAAATTTTGAAACTGATATAAATTGAAAAACTAACAGTATTATCTATTTAATTACATGAAAAAACCGGTATGCGGTATTCAGTACGTAGGTGAAACTGGACGCCATTTATCTAAACGCACGCGAAACACCTTTATCGTTTTAGAAGACCCCATAAATTTAAAAGTATCATTTATCAACACCCTAAGAAGCACAATCATCCTATTAAATATTTAACAGTTCAACCTTTAGAAGAAGTAAATTAGCAACCCGCGGGGAATCTCATACAAAATTTGTACGATCACGGAAAATAATTGAATTAAATTGGATTAAAAAATTACAGACAGTCTATCCTCTCGGTTTTAATGATAATATCATTGAAATTGGTAATATAGCAAGAACCGATTCTGTTAACATTTTTGATATAGTGTCTGAAAGTGTTCGTAAAAGCCGTTCTCATTGACGTAGAATAAATCGCAATCGAAGAAAATTTCGTACTAACAATACAAATATTTCTGACCTAGTTGCTATTTCAAAAATCATTCCTTAGTAAAGGACCTAAATATCATCCCCCGTCAATTATCAATTGGAATGAGTGTCGTAACATCATCAACGACACACTTCGTACTTACTGTATAAAATGGATAAAACGAGAAAAAGCTGACAAAAAATCCTGAGATTCTTTTTTAATTCAATAATGAACATAGTTGATATTCGTATTAATCATTTTAAGAACATTTTACTCCTAACAACAACCATAATAACCCAATTTCTCGTATCAAACATAAGCTAAAAAACTCGCCAGGGAATTTGTTTTTGTCCCAGCTGATAAGGCTGCCAATAATATCATTATTGTTTGACGTAAAGTTTTTATTGAGGTTCTGCAAAAGGAAATCACGAATTCACCAACATTCCAACTGACACAATTTTCGGAAAATGACATTTGTAACAAACATGAACTTTTAGCTACCTCTTTTCAATCAGAACCGAATATCATGAAAGTTCCAACTATGTACTGGCCTCCGAAGCTGCACAAAACACTTTACAAATATAGATTTATTTCGTCTTCAAGTCATTGTTCAACCACTAAACTGTCTATTCTACTTAGTAGTACACTTGGTATAATCAAAAACCTGGTAATAAATTGTTCAAATAGTGGATTTAATTACTTTTGGAGTGTTAAAAATTCGTTCGAAGTACTTGATAAATTGCATGCTCATATTGGTGATTTCTAATCTGTTCAATTTTTGATTTTTCTACCCTATATACCACTTTGCTTCATAATCTCATTAAGAAATAATTCACATACCTAATTTATGAGACATTTAAAAAGTCATAATGCAAATATGTATGTTCAAATTATTTTATGTCATGTTTAGTAACAACAAACAAAATAACTATGTCAATTGGACCTGCTTTGATACGATAACTGCACATGCATTTTTACTAGATAACATTTTTGTTCGCTATGGAGATTCTTATATCGTCAAGTTATCGGAATTTCAATGGGGACTAACTGTGCACCACTTATTGCGAACCTGTTTCTGTATTGTTACGAGTTACAAATTATGACTAAAATCAGCAAAGACCCATCAAAACAACATCTGATACAAAAAATTATAATACTTACAGATATTTGGATGATATATTGGTTCTCAATAATGACGACTTCAGTATGTACACTAGAGAGATTTATCCTGATGAACTGACTTTAAATAAAGCTAATACTAGCAATGAACACTGCCCTTTCCTGGATCTTGAAATCTATATCTTTAACGGGAAGCTTAATACCAAAATTTACGATAAAAGAGTGGATTTTTCATTTCCTATTGTTAATTATCCATTTTCAGATGGTGACGTTCCCTTGTCACCATCTTATGGTGTTTATATATCTCAACTTGTTTGATTCGCTCGTGTATGTAACAACGTATTTGATTTTAACGAAGAAATCTCTGTATTACTGAAAAATTATTACACCAGGGTTTTCGATATCACAAACTAGTCAAAACATTTACTAAATTTTATCAACGGTACAAAGAAATCATTCGTAAAAATAAATCAACATGCAGAATTCTTATACAGTCAGGTATTTCACATCCAAACTTTTATCGGTCTTTGCATCGGCAATAAACAAATTTATTCTAAAACCATTGTTGGCATGATACGGGTTATGTTTTTTCATATATTTTATGATGGTATGATACTAATCCCCGAACGGGAGGGATTGTGCTTGATTTGCATATGATGAAGACATAATCCTTCAATCAGTGTAATTGATAATACTTATAGATATTTGGATGATATATTGGTTCTCAATAATGACGACTTCAGTATGTACACTAGAAAGATTTATCCTGATGAACTGACTTTAAATAAAGCTAATACTTGCAATGAACACTGCCCTTTCCTGGATCTTGAAATCTATATCTTTAACGGGAAGCTTAATACCAAAATTTACGATAAAAGAGATGATTTTTCATTTTCTATTGTTAATTATCTATTT